CCAAGAAAATTGCCATTATTGGGTGTAAAAAAAGAATCTGAAGATCCTCTAAATGCCAAGTTATGCTCAGTTAAAAACTGAACAATGTTTAGCAGCCTCTCCATTATTGATCTCCAATGTTGTCTTTCTTGGCTCATAAAAGAGATTGTCAATTGTGACCAATTGCACTTTTGGACTTCAATCTCAGTTGTGTTTCCATCCACATCTGCTGAGCTAAAAAAGTGACTGCTGGAGGTTTCATGAGATTTGAGAAAATTTTCCATATATGTCCAGTCTTCTGATCCTCCTGAAGCCAAAGAACTTCTTGCATTCCTGTCAAATAACTTGCAAGAGAAACAAAAAACTTTATTTGCAAATGGAGAGTACACCAGCCATCTCCTTGTCTGCTCTTCTCCACTTTCTGTCGCTTATAGAATGTAGCAGAGAAGTGGCGATTATGAACATCTTTTTTAAACTCCATATTTGTTAACTGCACCGGGCCAAAATACGGTCAACATTCTTAGAAACTAATTTCAGCCACAAAGAAGGATCTGATAGACTTTCAGATGTTGTCTCAGAATACACTGAGTCAGGGGGACTATTAGAAGACAGTGGGTTAGAGAGAGCACTTGAATCCAGATCTTGTAGACATGAACTTGATGTTGAAGGTTCATTCTTCTCAAGATGGACATCATCAGCTTGACTGCTGCAGCTAAAGTCATCTAGTTTTTCTTCTTCAGCACATAGTGTTTCCGAAGCAACTGATCTTCCCAAGAACTTTTTTAAATCCCCTGCACTCTTCTGGTCCTCTAAATTCATAAGCACCTTACATTTTCGATTTTGGGAACTGGAGAGTTTTTTGGGACCCATGTCGTCACTAGGTAAGGTACAATCAGTAATGCAAATATTAAAACATACTAATCATACATAACAATGGCAGTTAAACAAAACCAGTTGCAAAATGTAGCAGAATATACATTTGTGGTCTTCATCAGTGGTGTATTTTGGTTTGGGGCTTCCCTAGGCAAGACAAAACTCGCCCCCCACACTAAATTTACCCCACCCGGATGTGGTCTCAAGCGGGCTCTGCAGGGTCTGTGGTGGGCTTTGCAGGCTGCCGAGCCCCCTATGGATCCTGCAAAGCCCCCCACAGAGCCTGCAGGATCTCAGGAAGGCTCTGCATGATCTGTGGTGGGCTTTGCAGGCTGCAGAGCACACTATGGATCATGCAAAGCCCCCCTGAGACCCGACAAAGTCCCCTAACAGATCCTGCAGGATCTCAGGGGGGTTGTGCAGGATCTGTGGTGGGCTTAGCAGGCTGCAGAGCCAACCCAAGGGTATTGCACAGCACACCTGAGACTCTTTGGTGGGCTGTGCAGAATTTAAGCTGGGCTCTGCCAGCACAGTCATCTTACCTTGCATGGCCTGACCTCTTTGGAGCACGGCCTCCTTGTCCTCGGCGCCCGACTGGACGGCCTCCTCATCCTCAGCGCCCTCACGGCAGATACACCCCTGGTCTTCAAATCGAATATCATGCCTCCATTTCCATAATGTACGGTAAAGAATTATGGTTTTTGACTCTTCATATTGATCCATATCAGATAATTCCTATTTTAAATGAGATGGAAGAGACCTTTGTGGCATTCTATTTGGTGTAGCCAGCTGCTCAGAAGTAAATAATGCAAAGCTAAGTAGTAATGCAAAGTGAGGAGGTCAGGAGGAAGTAACGCATAGAGTTCAGCGGTCCGGATCAAGTAATGCACAGATTGCCAAGGTCAGGAGGAAGTAACGCACAGAGTGCCGGTCAGTAGTAATCAGGGCCCTAGGAAGCTGTGAGGGGTCAAAGCCAAGACCGAACCTGTATTGTGTAATCACAGCACCAAACTCTGTTTAGTAGTGCCATTATAAACACAGAGCTCCCCCTCTGTGACTAGTAAGCACTCCACACTATCCACCATCCCTCACTTGGTCCAATAATTATGGGTATTCCCCACCATCCTGCCTCCACCTATATGCAGAACCCTCTCCAGTCCTTCAGCTTATAGGAAACAGCTACAACACAGCAAGGAAAGGCACTCACTACTACCGCTGCCCTTCCACCACAGAGCTCACCGCTCCGTGTGTTATGTCAAGGGCTGGGCAGTACTGAAGATCATGGGAGGCGCCACAAGTACTGGCGGCATGACTAAGGCGGGAGCGGTGACTGATAATGGGAGGCATGGCTGTGGGCGGCTCCAATACATGCCATTTCCAATAAGGATGCAGCGATATCAACACTAGTATCGGTGCCGAGTATTTGGGCAAGTACTCATACTCGCCCAAATGCTCCGATGCCTAGCCCGATACTTCCTGTATCAGGAAGCCGGACAGCGTGATATTACACATTGCCCGGCTTCCTGATTGACCAGAAAGCCATCTCCATGCTTTCTCGTCACCTGTTGACGAGAATGGCTCCCTGAAATGGGACTTCCGGTATCGGTATTGGCGAGTACAGAAAAAAAAAAATTAAAAAAAAAAAATCAGTACTCATACTAATACTGGAATACACCCCCTCAATGACATTCCACTCGCCCTCACGCAATTTTCACGCGCCAATTGCGAGGGGGTGAGTGGAAATTTTGAGGCCTGCAGTATATCACATGGTCCAACGCCACCTATACTGTTAAATCACATGGTCCAACGCCACCTATACTGTAAATCACATGGTCCAACGCCACCTATACTGTAAATCACATGGTCCAACGCCACCTATACTGTAAATCACATGGTCCAACGCCTCATAATCTAAACATGGTCTAGTCAGATGAGGCTACATATTCAGGCTGCGGCTCTATCAGGGCAAGTGCAGTGCCAGTGCTGTAAATCACATGGTCCAACGCCACCTATACTGTAAATCACATGGTCCAACGCCACCTATACTGTAAATCACATGGTCCAACGCCTAATAATCTAATCATGGTCTAATAAGATGAGGCTACATATTCAGGCTGTGCAGGCTGTTCGATTCTTCGGTTGCCAGTGCAGCTCTATCAGGGCAAGTGCAGGCTCTCAGAGGTCAGTGCGGGCTCCGCGTTGGGTGGGGGTCAGAGAGACTGGTGACTGCATAGAAATATACCATTCATTTGTGCTGCTTTTGTGCCGCAAAAATTTACGTTTGTGCTGCTTTTAGTTTTAAAATAACAGCAATTATCCTAAAACCAAAGGCCTCCTTCATTTTCACATGTCCAGCACTGGATGTACCATTTCTGACATATCAGCTGCGTAAGCGTATGCAAAAGCACAGGGACCCCTGATGTCCTGGGGCTCATGCTGCCTTCTGAACTACAACTCCTGAACAATGTATCATCATCATTGCTTGCTAGAAGCTATGCATTATGGTTATGTAGTCTTAAGAAATTGAGATTATGTCACATCATGCGGCAGGGAAAGAGATGCAAAGCAAACTTGATTGTATTATTTTAAAAAAACGATAGTATGTATTCCTATTACAATGCTGATCTTAGTACAGGCTGCGACTTTAGAATTCCTTTAAAGTAGAATTAAACACTTTTTTTGCAGATATCTACTCCTAGCAAGCAGTAGATATATGCAAAAACGTTTTAAAAAAATGAATTAAAAAAAGTTACCAAAAAAAGGTCAAAAAAACTTACCCGTGTCTCCACCTCTCGCTACAGTCTTCAGATCTGAAGCTTCTCAAGCGGCTGTGCCGGAGGATGAGAGCAGGCGCAGTACACATCTACGGCAGGGGTGAAGAGGAGAGACACAGTGAAGTGAATGCACGCAGCCGTGAGCTTGCACGTCGGACAGACACCGTAGGACAGGAGGAGTCTGCTCTGGATCAGAGACCGCCACCGGTGCTGGAGGGATTGCTCAATACAAGTGGAAGGAAAATGATGATCGGATCAAGAGGCATAATTTAAGGTAAGTCCATAAAGCAGCATGGGGGGGGAGGGAAACATTTGTGACTTTAATGTAAGGTAGGAGGCAAGTATGAGATGCTGCTTGTCAATTTTATCTTGATCTACCGAGTCTATATAATGGCATTTCCCCCCCCCCATATTTATCCAACTAAAATATTTTGTACAATTTTATTTTTTTAGTCCTGGAGAAAATAAATACAAAACCACAAAAATTTTCTTTAAAGGATTTTTTTGGCCCTAATATTTTCACCCTGTGATCCTGCCAAGAAACATATCCTGTCCTAGGTTAACAACACTTACTTGCTGAACTGTGCCTATGGGAGGTACAGTGTTGTTAAATTAGAAGGCTTTTTAACACCCCCACCCCCCTGCCATAAAGGGGAGGTTTCATGTAGTTCACAGCAAACTGGGCAGGTTGATAACACTGCCTAGTCCACAGGAGAGCAATGGATATCTGGCAGGATGAAAAGGGATTTTTTTGCACTAATCACACAGATGTAACAGGAGATGTTCAATGGTAGATTTACTAGACCAAAAAGGAACAAAACAAAACAAAAAAAAAACACTTTACATAAACTTTAAAATACATTTTGTAATTAGAACTGAAATAGGTAATTAATGGTTATGGCATGACTTGATTCGCCACAAGAGATCTCCACGTGCAGCCACTTCAGTATTACAAAGCAATAGCATTGTATTTTACATATGGCAGCCACACAAACCAAGTTCTAGAGGATTTGGGAAGGTAAAAGCCACTACGTACACAGTAACAGAACCCAGCAGGAAGGATTTCTAGTAGTATGATGGTTCATAACACAATCTTTTACTTAAAACCACTAAAGCCATATTTAATCACGTACAGCAGGACTTGGGGCTAGTTTTGGATGAATTACAAGATCACATTGATACATTAATACAATGTGTTTCTTTGCAAAGTTTGTACAATATCTCGAGCAAAATAAAAAGTCTTCAAAACTGTGATAGAAGCAAAGACATCACAGCAGCCTGTACAAGGGGAGGTTTTGGCAAAGTGCTTTTTCTCAAGGCAGGAGAATACACAGTTTGTGGATGAAGGAATACAGATTGGTAACTGAAACATTTTTATCTCCTCGTAGGCTTGTTTTCCAGAAGCCGGATAACGAGTCTGTTGCGCAGGGATTTTATTTTGCTTGTATACATCATCTGGAATGTCCTTGTGAGTTTCTCCCGCAGGGCTTGGAGGGGCGATGGGCTGTGACAGTCAGGGATATTCAATAAGGTATGGAAAAAATTGACCCACAGTTCTCCATCTGGCATTCTAAAATAAACAAAAATATATAATTGACACATTTGGCAAGCAAATAAAGTGTTCCAATAAGGTATGAATGCACAGTAATAGAGGATAATAGTAATCATCAAAAACACAACTGACCGTCTAAAATTTCCCTCCGTCTTCCAAACACCACACTCCTCATGGACTTTCATGTAGTTGCCAAACAGCATGCAGTAAACTGTTCCAGCTACACCAAAGTAGTCTGTCTGGAGAGAAAGCAACCAGTACAATGTCAGTGCTTCATTTGCAGTATCAGATGTAGGTAGGTAGGTATGCTTTTATCACATGTGTACACAGGAGGTTTTGTTACAAAGCTGTTGAAAGACTTTAAAGTCACTCTTATTTTACTTTCACATTCTTTCTTTATATTTATGTTATCTTATTACATATAGATATTTACAGATGAGACAAAGAATAATGGCAGCTGTAGGGTTGAACAAGCCCATTACTATTCCTGCCAAATTTAACTGCGTACAAAGGAAAGGTACCTGAGCACCAAAGAACATAGGCCAAAATAATGTTCATGAAGTTTAAAACCCCAGAACCTGTTATAGACAAGCAACTGTCCATACTGCTTTGCATCTGATGGAAGGAGTAAACATAATTTTAGCCCCCATATAAAGAGAAAGGGGTGACTACTGGTCATAATTAACTAACCTACGGTCTTTAAGACTGCAAGGATAGAGAGCAGAGTGGATAGCTTGAACATTAGCAGATTATCTCCCTCCTAACACTACAGAAAAGAATTTAAAGACACATTGCAGGAACTGTCACTTAATATTGAGGCTGGTTGGTTATATTTAGAAGATGGAGGAAAAAAATCCTGCCACATAGAAACAATAACCTGTAAAGCAGGAGGTGTCTCAGTAAAGTAGGCCAGCTAAATAGGAGAGAATGCAGAGCAACATTCAGTATACAGACAGAGGTCAGGGGGGGCTGATGGAGAGACTCCCTCATGTGCAATGTGGAGAAAGGAAGGGTATCTAATCCTCAGGAAGTAAAATATTTTTAGACACTTCAAAACGTGGCTCAGAGTAAGGCCTAGAACACAGCTAGATGTCCCAATGGTAGGATTGCAAGGCAGTATGGGGTGCTGGCTTAAATAAGGACAGCTGTGGGGAAAACATGACCCACATATACTGATGGGCTGAAAGTGCTGTGAGCAAAACAGACAGAAGAAGACTAAGAATAAAAGGTAAGAAGTATATCCAAGAAGTACAATCCAAGTCACAGGAGAATCGTTATGTAACATATTTAGGTGGGTTACACCCCCTTCCCAAGGTGACCCTCCGAGTTCCCTGGATCACCCGACAAGGAAACCTCAAGAGATGGTTACACCCTTCAGTAAGCTCCAACCCTGACATTGTCATCACATAATTGGAAAGAGAAAAAAAAGAAGGAAGAAGGATCAGTGTGCCAGACAGCTACTATTTGCAGACTAAATGGTCAATAAATGGCAACGCCATACTTCCTTACTACAGATTTCCTTTAAAAGAGAACCCTCAATGTGTACCTGATAGTTCCAGGGTTTATTGGTCAGCATTTCCACGCACTGAAATCCAGATGTCTCGCACTTTGCTTTGAAAGCTGTTCCTGTTGGGAAGAGTGTCAGATCTATGCTCTGACCCAGATCAATGAGAGCTAGTCCATGCGATACCAGATCCAGTTTACAAGATTCATGATCTATAAAGCTGAGAAGCACAAACACTATTATCAGACATGTATAGAGCTGTACATTTGCATTGTATTAGGGAGCACACATGTAAAATATATATATTTTATATTTACAGCTTAAAAAGTGAACCTGTGCTGAGATCACACAGTACACAAACTTATTTAACTATTCTGAACAAGCGGCATCATCTCTGCATCTATATACATTGTGGCAAAATGAATGTTCAATGTTCACAGCACAGGCAGTGAAATCTGATCATCTTTCTGCAAAGAGGAGATCTCGGCAGACTGACAAACCTCCAATATGAACAACCAGCAGGTGATTCTAAGCATTTAGACACCAACTGAAAACGTTAAATCCTTTAGGATATGTCAGAGATGGGTCATTTTGAAGCATTTTTTTTACTGCCTGTCAAGAATATGTAAACATTTAATGGCCACTCTCTGGGCAAAGGTTTACAAACTTTGTTAAGCAGTGCCGAGTCCGACACTTATGGCAAACCCTTGCATCAAATTTTCAGCTCAAAGCCAAAATGAAGGTGGGAGTGAGAGGAGGCAACAGTTGGGCTGCTCAGGGTGCATTAGAAGCTTTTCTATAAATAACTTGGCAGCCAATCATTCTTACCCAGCTGACTCCAATGAAAGTTATGTCATGTGCACTGGGCAGTCGCCTTCAGATATCCGATAGATTACCTGCCTAAAAGGTGCTGCTATCATGTAATAATATACCATATAGAAATAAAACTCTAGAAATCTTTGTCTCTATTCCCATATTCATGTACAGGTTTATAGAAGGACAACCATTGCAAATAATAAGAATCATTTATCCGGGCCTATAGGGTCGATTTCAGAAAACCCTTCTCTGATCACACACACACACACACACACACAATATGTCCTGATTAAAAATGGTTTCCTCACAACTACCTGCTGAACTGTAAAAAAAGCAAAAACATTTCAGTATACCTGTACCAATTCTAAAAAGCATGGTACACAGTGGTGTCGTCACTATCATTAGTTTCAAAGCCACCCATTCTATCCTCTCCATCACTTTATTAAGCACCCCTTCTATCCTCTCCATCACTTTATTAAGCAGCCCTACGATCCTCTCTCCATCACTTTATTAAGGGGAGGAGACTGAGGAGGCACATCGATCCCCGATGATCTAGTGGTTGATTAGTAAGGTCAATCCTTTCGGCCAGCGTTCACAGATAGAGCGCTGGCCGAAAGGATCCCAGTGCTGGCACAGAAGCAGCTACCTGGTTTGCATGCGACAGACATGCAGACCCTGTAGCTGCTCCCGTAAGTCAGGTACGCGGTCAGGCTGCGGGCTGGTACTTTGAGATCACTGCTTTAAGGTTTAACTCCTGAGTTTAGGGTCACTAAGATTTTGCAAATCAGAAAACTTACTTTTCACCCAGAGCAAAGTTATCAGGTTTTATATCACCATGGATGATGCCAATGTTATGGAGCTGTTCCACTATGTACAGGATATTGATGGCAAAATACATGACCAGTGGCACAGGCATCACCTTCTCTGTCAATTTCTTGTACAGATTAATAACATTCTTACTCGTGCTAGGTATCGGAGCATTTGGGCGAGTACGAGTACTCACCCAAATACTCGGTATCGGCACCCATACCGATACTAGTATCGGTGCATCCCTAATATATGGTAAATTAAAAATCCAACAGGAAAAGTAGAATCCCTCATGATGGACACAGAAGTAGTAGAAGGAGTAAAGACCACAGAACTCAAGCACAGAGATCTTACCAATAGAGTTCCCAAGAGAAATAAGCAATTGTCAGGCAGATAACTCTCTGGCATCTGTTTAAGGTGAAATTAACCTTTGAAGAAGAACTTAAGATTTTTTTTATTAACCCTTGCAACGGGGCTATCCCCGTACTGCAAGGGTTAACTGCTCGTTTGTGTCTAGGTCAAAATAAAACAAAGAAATACTAATCCAAAGCTTGGTGCCGGCTTCTTCTCAGACCGATCCCTGGAATGTCTCTCCCCCTGCAGCAGTCTAAGGTCCAGTAAATTATCAAGTCTATACACTGTGCATACTGTACACATGAGGACACTGGGGAACATTCCAATGTGCTGGGGAGGAGGGGACAGGCTGGAGGGAGCGCCATGACAGCTGGCTAGCTCGGAGCTTCGAGTGAGTGTAGCTTTATTTTAGCACCTAGACACAAACGAACAGTTAACCCTTGCAGTGCAGGAGTAGCCCCACTGCAAGGGTTAATAAAAAAATTATCGGAATTCTTCTTTAAAGTGTATGATAACCCTAACAATAAACAACTATAATTTGCTACCCTTTGGTATATTGAATCAATATAAGCGTTAATCATACAAGCGTTTTTTCATATCTATTTGATAAGTGCAAAAAAGTACCCATTGTTCTTATTAGAAATTCAGAGTTGTCTTGTATCTTGTATACAATTCCTGTGTAACAGCAAAGAGTAATTAGACTTCCCCATTTTTTATCTTGATATTGCAGAATAGGGGGATGCTTTAAGCAGTTTACCAAAAGACATCTGGGCAGCGCTGACACCACTCAGTCTGCAAAAAAGCTCTGTGTTGTCAGCACTCATGGGGAAATGTAGCTGTGTGAAGTTGTCACCTCATGTTTGTAAAAGCTGAATACAAATATACCATTCGTTTCCTGCTGATTTGTGCCGCAAAAAATGAACATTTGTGCCGCTTTGGGTTCAGAGATATTGCGCATTATAGTTGCTGAAACCACTTTGCACCCCATATTATTACATTTTAAAAAGAAATATACCATTCATTTGTGCTGCTTTTGTGCCGCAAAAATTTACGTTTGTGCTGCTTTTAGTTTTAAAATAACAGCAATTATCCTAAAACCAAAGGCCTCCTTCATTTTCACATGTCCAGCACTGGATGTACCATTTCTGACATATCAGCTGCGTAAGCGTATGCAAAAGCACAGGGACCCCTGATGTCCTGGGGCTCATGCTGCCTTCTGAACTACAACTCCTGAACAATGTATCATCATCATTGCTTGCTAGAAGCTATGCATTATGGTTATGTAGTCTTAAGAAATTGAGATTATGTCACATCATGCGGCAGGGAAAGAGATGCAAAGCAAACTTGATTGTATTATTTTAAAAAAACGATAGTATGTATTCCTATTACAATGCTGATCTTAGTACAGGCTGCGACTTTAGAATTCCTTTAAAGTAGAATTAAACACTTTTTTTGCAGATATCTACTCCTAGCAAGCAGTAGATATATGCAAAAACGTTTTAAAAAAATGAATTAAAAAAAGTTACCAAAAAAAGGTCAAAAAAACTTACCCGTGTCTCCACCTCTCGCTACAGTCTTCAGATCTGAAGCTTCTCAAGCGGCTGTGCCGGAGGATGAGAGCAGGCGCAGTACACATCTACGGCAGGGGTGAAGAGGAGAGACACAGTGAAGTGAATGCACGCAGCCGTGAGCTTGCACGTCGGACAGACACCGTAGGACAGGAGGAGTCTGCTCTGGATCAGAGACCGCCACCGGTGCTGGAGGGATTGCTCAATACAAGTGGAAGGAAAATGATGATCGGATCAAGAGGCATAATTTAAGGTAAGTCCATAAAGCAGCATGGGGGGGGAGGGAAACATTTGTGACTTTAATGTAAGGTAGGAGGCAAGTATGAGATGCTGCTTGTCAATTTTATCTTGATCTACCGAGTCTATATAATGGCATTTCCCCCCCCCCATATTTATCCAACTAAAATATTTTGTACAATTTTATTTTTTTAGTCCTGGAGAAAATAAATACAAAACCACAAAAATTTTCTTTAAAGGATTTTTTTGGCCCTAATATTTTCACCCTGTGATCCTGCCAAGAAACATATCCTGTCCTAGGTTAACAACACTTACTTGCTGAACTGTGCCTATGGGAGGTACAGTGTTGTTAAATTAGAAGGCTTTTTAACACCCCCACCCCCCTGCCATAAAGGGGAGGTTTCATGTAGTTCACAGCAAACTGGGCAGGTTGATAACACTGCCTAGTCCACAGGAGAGCAATGGATATCTGGCAGGATGAAAAGGGATTTTTTTGCACTAATCACACAGATGTAACAGGAGATGTTCAATGGTAGATTTACTAGACCAAAAAGGAACAAAACAAAACAAAAAAAAAACACTTTACATAAACTTTAAAATACATTTTGTAATTAGAACTGAAATAGGTAATTAATGGTTATGGCATGACTTGATTCGCCACAAGAGATCTCCACGTGCAGCCACTTCAGTATTACAAAGCAATAGCATTGTATTTTACATATGGCAGCCACACAAACCAAGTTCTAGAGGATTTGGGAAGGTAAAAGCCACTACGTACACAGTAACAGAACCCAGCAGGAAGGATTTCTAGTAGTATGATGGTTCATAACACAATCTTTTACTTAAAACCACTAAAGCCATATTTAATCACGTACAGCAGGACTTGGGGCTAGTTTTGGATGAATTACAAGATCACATTGATACATTAATACAATGTGTTTCTTTGCAAAGTTTGTACAATATCTCGAGCAAAATAAAAAGTCTTCAAAACTGTGATAGAAGCAAAGACATCACAGCAGCCTGTACAAGGGGAGGTTTTGGCAAAGTGCTTTTTCTCAAGGCAGGAGAATACACAGTTTGTGGATGAAGGAATACAGATTGGTAACTGAAACATTTTTATCTCCTCGTAGGCTTGTTTTCCAGAAGCCGGATAACGAGTCTGTTGCGCAGGGATTTTATTTTGCTTGTATACATCATCTGGAATGTCCTTGTGAGTTTCTCCCGCAGGGCTTGGAGGGGCGATGGGCTGTGACAGTCAGGGATATTCAATAAGGTATGGAAAAAATTGACCCACAGTTCTCCATCTGGCATTCTAAAATAAACAAAAATATATAATTGACACATTTGGCAAGCAAATAAAGTGTTCCAATAAGGTATGAATGCACAGTAATAGAGGATAATAGTAATCATCAAAAACACAACTGACCGTCTAAAATTTCCCTCCGTCTTCCAAACACCACACTCCTCATGGACTTTCATGTAGTTGCCAAACAGCATGCAGTAAACTGTTCCAGCTACACCAAAGTAGTCTGTCTGGAGAGAAAGCAACCAGTACAATGTCAGTGCTTCATTTGCAGTATCAGATGTAGGTAGGTAGGTATGCTTTTATCACATGTGTACACAGGAGGTTTTGTTACAAAGCTGTTGAAAGACTTTAAAGTCACTCTTATTTTACTTTCACATTCTTTCTTTATATTTATGTTATCTTATTACATATAGATATTTACAGATGAGACAAAGAATAATGGCAGCTGTAGGGTTGAACAAGCCCATTACTATTCCTGCCAAATTTAACTGCGTACAAAGGAAAGGTACCTGAGCACCAAAGAACATAGGCCAAAATAATGTTCATGAAGTTTAAAACCCCAGAACCTGTTATAGACAAGCAACTGTCCATACTGCTTTGCATCTGATGGAAGGAGTAAACATAATTTTAGCCCCCATATAAAGAGAAAGGGGTGACTACTGGTCATAATTAACTAACCTACGGTCTTTAAGACTGCAAGGATAGAGAGCAGAGTGGATAGCTTGAACATTAGCAGATTATCTCCCTCCTAACACTACAGAAAAGAATTTAAAGACACATTGCAGGAACTGTCACTTAATATTGAGGCTGGTTGGTTATATTTAGAAGATGGAGGAAAAAAATCCTGCCACATAGAAACAATAACCTGTAAAGCAGGAGGTGTCTCAGTAAAGTAGGCCAGCTAAATAGGAGAGAATGCAGAGCAACATTCAGTATACAGACAGAGGTCAGGGGGGGCTGATGGAGAGACTCCCTCATGTGCAATGTGGAGAAAGGAAGGGTATCTAATCCTCAGGAAGTAAAATATTTTTAGACACTTCAAAACGTGGCTCAGAGTAAGGCCTAGAACACAGCTAGATGTCCCAATGGTAGGATTGCAAGGCAGTATGGGGTGCTGGCTTAAATAAGGACAGCTGTGGGGAAAACATGACCCACATATACTGATGGGCTGAAAGTGCTGTGAGCAAAACAGACAGAAGAAGACTAAGAATAAAAGGTAAGAAGTATATCCAAGAAGTACAATCCAAGTCACAGGAGAATCGTTATGTAACATATTTAGGTGGGTTACACCCCCTTCCCAAGGTGACCCTCCGAGTTCCCTGGATCACCCGACAAGGAAACCTCAAGAGATGGTTACACCCTTCAGTAAGCTCCAACCCTGACATTGTCATCACATAATTGGAAAGAGAAAAAAAAGAAGGAAGAAGGATCAGTGTGCCAGACAGCTACTATTTGCAGACTAAATGGTCAATAAATGGCAACGCCATACTTCCTTACTACAGATTTCCTTTAAAAGAGAACCCTCAATGTGTACCTGATAGTTCCAGGGTTTATTGGTCAGCATTTCCACGCACTGAAATCCAGATGTCTCGCACTTTGCTTTGAAAGCTGTTCCTGTTGGGAAGAGTGTCAGATCTATGCTCTGACCCAGATCAATGAGAGCTAGTCCATGCGATACCAGATCCAGTTTACAAGATTCATGATCTATAAAGCTGAGAAGCACAAACACTATTATCAGACATGTATAGAGCTGTACATTTGCATTGTATTAGGGAGCACACATGTAAAATATATATATTTTATATTTACAGCTTAAAAAGTGAACCTGTGCTGAGATCACACAGTACACAAACTTATTTAACTATTCTGAACAAGCGGCATCATCTCTGCATCTATATACATTGTGGCAAAATGAATGTTCAATGTTCACAGCACAGGCAGTGAAATCTGATCATCTTTCTGCAAAGAGGAGATCTCGGCAGACTGACAAACCTCCAATATGAACAACCAGCAGGTGATTCTAAGCATTTAGACACCAACTGAAAACGTTAAATCCTTTAGGATATGTCAGAGATGGGTCATTTTGAAGCATTTTTTTTACTGCCTGTCAAGAATATGTAAACATTTAATGGCCACTCTCTGGGCAAAGGTTTACAAACTTTGTTAAGCAGTGCCGAGTCCGACACTTATGGCAAACCCTTGCATCAAATTTTCAGCTCAAAGCCAAAATGAAGGTGGGAGTGAGAGGAGGCAACAGTTGGGCTGCTCAGGGTGCATTAGAAGCTTTTCTATAAATAACTTGGCAGCCAATCATTCTTACCCAGCTGACTCCAATGAAAGTTATGTCATGTGCACTGGGCAGTCGCCTTCAGATATCCGATAGATTACCTGCCTAAAAGGTGCTGCTATCATGTAATAATATACCATATAGAAATAAAACTCTAGAAATCTTTGTCTCTATTCCCATATTCATGTACAGGTTTATAGAAGGACAACCATTGCAAATAATAAGAATCATTTATCCGGGCCTATAGGGTCGATTTCAGAAAACCCTTCTCTGATCACACACACACACACACACACACAATATGTCCTGATTAAAAATGGTTTCCTCACAACTACCTGCTGAACTGTAAAAAAAGCAAAAACATTTCAGTATACCTGTACCAATTCTAAAAAGCATGGTACACAGTGGTGTCGTCACTATCATTAGTTTCAAAGCCACCCATTCTATCCTCTCCATCACTTTATTAAGCACCCCTTCTATCCTCTCCATCACTTTATTAAGCACCCCTTCTATCCTCTCCATCACTTTATTAAGCAGCCCTACGATCCTCTCTCCATCACTTTATTAAGGGGAGGAGACTGAGGAGGCACATCGATCCCCGATGATCTAGTGGTTGATTAGTAAGGTCAATCCTTTCGGCCAGCGTTCACAGATAGAGCGCTGGCCGAAAGGATCCCAGTGCTGGCACAGAAGCAGCTACCTGGTTTGCATGCGACAGACATGCAGACCCTGTAGCTGCTCCCGTAAGTCAGGTACGCGGTCAGGCTGCGGGCTGGTACTTTGAGATCACTGCTTTAAGGTTTAACTCCTGAGTTTAGGGTCACTAAGATTTTGCAAATCAGAAAACTTACTTTTCACCCAGAGCAAAGTTATCAGGTTTTATATCACCATGGATGATGCCAATGTTATGGAGCTGTTCCACTATGTACAGGATATTGATGGCAAAATACATGACCAGTGGCACAGGCATCACCTTCTCTGTCAATTTCTTGTACAGATTAATAACATTCTAAAGAAAGCAAAAAGGAGTTTTAATTAGTAGGATAGTGAAGCTGGTCATATTGAAAATCCAAAAGGCATTACTATCACATTATCAACAGCTTGAAGTATTCTAGAAAGCTGTAATATAATTATTACTCACACACAGAGCAAACTTAAAACTAGGTAGTTGTAAAAATAAAAAGGCTTTACAGAAGATGTGCATTCTGTAAACATAATAGCTGAGTACTAGAAAAAAACCTAATCCAGAAACTCTACTTCATATATCCAAAGTTGTAAACAACATGGACGATTTAACCTCAAGGCTCTGTTGACCTGGTAATGAATTGAGCTCACCCGAAAATAAAAACAGTCATCTAAAAAGGCAACCTACGCATTTGGTCTTACCAAAAGTGACCCAGAGCTGTAGAGATCTCCGACCAATACACTTCCATTCTGGAAAATATGTGCAGACTGGAAACTGATAAAGAGGTGCCTTAGCTCTGGACTAATCCGTTGCGAAATCTGTGTGCCAATGTAAAACTCCCAGGGCTTTGCAGGCTTTTGTACCTGAGGCAAAGGAACATAAATAGGACATTGATGTGAAATGACAATCTCTATATTATGATGACCACGTCTGTTTCTTAAAAGGTCCAGCATTACCTTCAGAATAACTTTGGAACTGTGCTGGGTTTCCGTAACCAATGTGGAAGCTTGATAAACATGAGCAAAGGCTCCTTCCCCAAGCAAATGATCAACATGAAACGACTGGGATCCTAAGACAGAAGAGCCATCACAAATCAAACATCTGTAACCAAGACTGCTGAAGAGAGTGGGAAGAAAAAACACTTCAGTACATGCAGATGGGTATGGTTATAGTGAGTTTGCCTTACCCAGCTTTATCTCGATTTTAGGCCTGACTAATGGAATATTTGTTGGCCATTGATGGTAGCTGCTCAGGGAGCTCAGTTGTTTGGGCAGTTCTGACAGAAGGCTTGCAATCAAGTTGTCATCCCACGCATTTTCAACCAACACTTGCTCTGAAGAAAAAAAAAAAAGGAATCCAGTCACCTTTGGCATCAGATGATAATCCAGACTAAATGACTAAATGTGCACAAGCTTACACTGCAGAGGCAGCCATTTGTGCTTGAAACTCAAAATGCATAAATGAAGACTTTCAGCTCAGGGGTTCAGTGAGAGCCGTGCTAAAATTGATGCTTCCATAGAGAATGGGCATGGCTCATAATGGAAAAAAACAGCAATTAAAGAGGAACTCTGAGAAACTGAGTGTTCAGAAAAATCTCTTTACACTAAATTACCGCAGACTTGTAACTTGCCATCAGAGCTGAAGAGGAAAGCCTGCTCTGTAGGTGGATGGTGACGAGGGCTTTCAGGGCAGAGAACTCACAGTTGGGATAACCAGGCAAAATGTAGCATAGTGACAGATCACATTCAGAGAAAACTTGCCTACTTCAAGATGGGGATTTTAAGCATTTTTCTTTAAAACCACAACCAAGTCCTCCTCAGAAAATTTATAAAACGATGAACATTTTTTAAAACAGCAGGATTTTAAAGAACTCCAGGATTTGTTTTTTTTATTTATTAACCTTTGCAGTGGGGATACCCTGTTTCCCTGAAATTAAGACCTACCCCGAAAATAAGACCTAGTACTATTTTTGGGAATTGCTAAAATATAAGACCAACCCCGAAAATAAGACCTAGTTGTAACCATTCCCAGGGCCGGTGGTGGCATAAGGGGGAACTTGAAGAGCCCTTTTAGGAGAGGCAGGAGAGAATCAGCGGTGCCAATGAAGCCAGCGCTAGAGGAAGCGAGGCGGCAGCGGAGGGAGCAGAGCCGCATAAGCCGATGCCTCCTCCTGTCACAGGCGGAGTGATACCAAATGCCTGTGAGGAATCGTGAAAGCACGCTTCGCTTTTTCTGGTTAGCAAATTGCTCTTGTAAAAGGTACGGCACCCCTGATTACCATATTTTTGAACATGAATACATGTAGACTGTTGTACATAAGTGTGGATTGTTGTACATTAAAAAAAAAAATAATATTATACAGCACAAATGTCCCGTACATTGCAGCATTAGATTTACAATAATCCCCTGCTAACATGAATAGGTTAAATGATCCATATTACAACAACATATTATGTACTATGGATCATGATTTAACCTATTCATGTTAGCAGGGGATAATTGTAACTCTATTACTGCAGTGTACTGGACGTGTATGCTGTATATGTATTATGGATCATGATTCAACCTATTCATGTTAGCAGGGCAGAATTGTGAGCGCCTCCCACAAGCCGAGCACCGAGATGCAATGCAGCGATCCTGCCCAGCGCCGACTACAAGAGGCACCGCATGAGGCTACAGGGATCGGAGTGAAACTGTGAGTAAGGGAAGCTGGGGTGGGGCTGGCTGTAAATCTATTGCTATAGTGTACTGGACGTGTGTAGTGTATATGTAGTGCATATATACAGCACACACCTCCACTACACTCCAGCAATAGAGTTACAATTCTCCACTGCTAACATGAATAGGTTAAACCATGATCCATAGTACATAACATGTAGTTGTACTATGGATCATTTAAAGTCACCTGTCCCTTTTAGAAAAAGTATCGGTAATTGGTATCGGCAAGTACATGAGGGGATGTACTTGGGCCTGAAAAAGGGACATCCCTAATAAGGCCTACCCCGAAAATAAGACTGTGTGTTTTTCTTGAGCCAAAAAAAATATAAAGACAGTGTCTTTTTTTGGGAAACATGGTACTACCTCTGCACTGCAAGGATTAAGTGCTTGTTTGTGTGTAGGTGTTAAAATAACAAAGATATACTCACCCAAAGCTCAGAGAAAGTCCAACTGCCATGGCAGTCTGTCTAGCCTGTCCCCTCCTTTGCAGCACATTGGAATGTTCCTTAGCATCCTCACATCTAAGCACAGTGTATAGGCATGATGAATTACTGGACCTTAGACCGCTGAAGTGGAGGGGGAAGAGACATTCCAAGTACCGGTCTAAGCAGCCGGCTTTGGGTGAGTATATCTTTGTGTTTTAACCTAGACACAAACGAGCAGTTCACCCTTGCAATGCCGTGGTAGCCGCACGGCAAGGGTTAATTTAAAAAAAATCTTGAAGTTCTGCTTTAATCAGCAGAACAGTGTTGGGTTTGAACATAACATCCTCAAACTCACTCCATAAATCATACCTTAAGTGAAATAAAAGATAAAGCTCTTTTAGCATGCCATTTTGGAACCGGGTCTTTGACATCTATAACCAGGTAATGGGGACGGATCTAGTAGCCTCCCCTAAAATAGCTCTCCTATCTCTTTTACCTGGCTCCCTTGCCTCGATCAAGAGGGACCTACTCCGCTTCTTCCTGGCAGCGGCCCGAAACGTAGTGCCGCGACATTGGAACACTGTGGTCGCCCCGACCGTGCAGGAGTGGATTGCGGAAGTGTGTCTGATCATGCGCTTTGAAGAACTGACGGCCTCTCTACATGAGCGTCAACCCCAATGCGCTACTTTGTGGACCCCTTGGATTTTGTACATGGACTCAGCAGCATTTAGGACCCTGTGATCGTACTAAGGACCTCCTGACTGACACTGCACTAGTGCACTGCCTCTGATATACCTAAGTGGGCCGTCCAGGGTGACAGATGTACTATTGGGTCCGGTGGAAGCCCCCCATCCCCTTTCTCCTCCCCATTAAGTACCCTCCCGTATCTGTTCTCCTACTTAGCCTGGCACCCCGCCTGGCAGGCGCCCCCCGCCCATATTGTGTTGTCCCTTGAGTCCCGTGTTACTATGTGTTTCTCCTCCTTTTTGTCCCCCTTTAGTGTTGTCTAGCCAGATGGGAGATCACAGCTACCTTTATATCTCCTGGGTGAGATGCGCTCAGTAGCTATAGAAACTAGAAATTTACCCCCCTCTGTATGACTTGATCTACATATTTACCACTGTATGTGATGGATACTTGAACCGAACACATATATATGCATTGTTATATGCTTGTGTCTCATGCAGAGCTGTGACTGCATGACCTGAAACTGCGCTGATCCCTATGTCTGCCTGTCTTTTATGTTACCTGTACTAAACTCTTAATAAACATTTATTATTTAAAAAAAAAAAGCTTTTAGCATGACATAGTTTGTTCAGCTGTACTATTGGGTACAACGGGCATCCTGAATATCACTGTTGGCCAACATGCAAATTTCAGCTATCTTTCATTGTTGAGAGGAGGCCCTGTCTGAAATAAACACACTACGGGCTTGTGAAGATGCCCATCACAGACATATGCCAACAGTGAAGTGCAAGAGGGGACAGTGCTAGATGATGACCCAGGAATTCTCGAACTTTGAATACCAGAGCGCTCCGAAGCCTTTGAACAGACGTGAAGGCACCAGAAGGTGCCTACTATGGCCTACTCTTGAAGCTTTGCTTCAATATGGAGAGGCAGTAGATGTGCATCCCAATTGGTAGGGTATTCGAACATAATGCAGATCTACTCCTATGTCAAACTCTTTAGTTCAATGTAATATTCCTGTTTGTACACTTCTGTTGGTTAAAACTTACATGAGCACAGGGTATGGTATGGGTATAGTAAGGTTAGTGGTTACATTCCAGTGCACTTCAACAGTACCAAATGCAGGCTGTTACTACCATCCATGGTCACAGCGCTTAGGGCAAACACATGGTCTCACCACTGCCGATCACCGTTAATGACATATGGAAAACTATTCAGCAATGCAGCTAACTTTAGCAGTTGCTTCACACCTCAAAACGTACAAAAACATGTGGAAAGCATGCTGACTCTTAAAGTGATGCCAAACTCAAGAGTTAAATCTTAAAAATGCATTCAAGTATGTTAACTTTTAACAGAAATGTATCTTATTTGTGTATCACTCGGCTATAGATCCTCAAATCATCTCTGAATTGGTGCCGACACTGTCCTGTTCTTGAGGTGGCTACTTTTGTTCCCCATGGTCCATGTGTGTTGTAAAGTAGCCACCGCTCCGCTAAAAATACAGTCACATGCATTAAACACCAAGCAAACTGAAGAGGACAAAGTTATAAAAAGGCTTACCTGGCATGGTAACTTCTGGCTCCTTCTCATCCTCAAATCTGAATGGCTGTGATGTTACACCCCAGGGATCTTCAATATTCAATAAGGTGCCCTGTAATGTCTCAGAGAGTTTACAGGCTGCCAGGAGATTTCCAGCATTCTCCAATTCAGCATCCCCAGTGATTTCTGAACTCTGTGCAGGAAAAATGCTGCATGAAGACGGTGAAGGGGCGCTGAATGCTATTTTAGAATGTTCTGGGCTTTTTTCTTGAATGGGGCTATAAATGCATGAATAAACAGCACATATTATTATTACATATTATGTCATGAAAAGGCTAAATGTAAGAAAAACTGAAAGTGCTGTACCTGAGCTTCCTTATTTTTGATGGCTGGACAGTTTTATCCTCAGAAGAGTCCAAACCCATATGACTGCTGCTGTTTGTATATGAACCCACTGCATTTTCTGTTAAAAGAAAACCATAACTTATAGCAGTGACAAAACCAGAAACTCACAAAAACAAAACCTGTTATGAATGTCGTTTTTATGTAGTCTGCAACGTTTTTGTTTTTATGTATAGTACACCCTCTCTAGTGTAGACAGCTTACCAGTGCTCCAACGCCCTATTTGCCAAGTGGAGTCTCCTAAATAAAATGTACTTCTTGGGATGAGGAAGCATGTGACCCTTGCCCCTTCCTCCCATGAAGCATCTTTTTTCCAAGCCAGAGTACGGAAAAGGTCTTTTAAATTATTTTAAAAATTACAGGACTTTTATTTGCCAACATTCAGGAGTTGGGAGACTCTGAGATCAGGCAGTTGACGAGGTAGCAATTACCTAATTTTATCGTGATTTCTAGGACTGCTGGAGGCAGCCATCAGTACAGCTCCCCATAGGAATGAATAAGGAGGCGGCATGCATGCGCAGGCTGAAGAGTACTTGACAATTTGGTGCAGCATCCCAACAGGGCAGCACAGTGAAGATCACTAGATCAAGCATAAGGGTGAGTATCAGACTAGGAGGGCTGCACTTTGGGGTGTTGCTGCATCCATTAAAAGGACAAGTTGTGCCTTTATTGTACCAAAGGAGGCAAACATAGATGTGAAATAAGAAAGGGTGTACAGTTCAAATGATTTAAGACTCAATTTTAAGATTCTTACAAACCTCAGCAATTAATGGCTTCAAAATATTTTTGGTATTAACTATAACAGCTACAAAAATCATAAAATGAATTCAGAGGAACCATTCATTATTGTTCAAAAAAACTAGATCCTATATAATATGAAAATGCAAAACACAAATGGGGAAATGTATCCAAACTGAAGCAGACAGAATGTGGAGCAGGTGCCCATGGCAAACTATCAGCTTCTCTCTTTAGTTTGTTAAGCTTTAAAAATGAAAGATAGAAGCGTATTGGTAACTATGGACAACTGCTCCAGGTTTTAATAATTTCCCTCAATGTTTATTCGCTACCTTTATCCTCCAGTATCTGCCAAGTTTGCTCAGGCTGCCTGTTGCCGGCAGGAGTAGATGCAAATCGAGCTGCTTGTGCAAAGTCTCCTGTACTATTTGGACTGGGGGCCAGTGTTTTGTTACATCGACCAGCCCACACGGTGCAGTCATCCACCGGAGATTCAGCAGCTTTCACCTCGTCCTATAAAGAGATGGCAGATAAACAATAGTTATGTACAGTTTTACAACATGGAAACAGACAAGGAACTGGCACTTGAAACATTTTTCTGCCACTTAAGAACAGACATTACTTTTTTCAGCAATATTATCTGCTGCTGTTCTGATTAAACTAACAAATGCGGTCCAGTCACTTCCCAATTTGTGAGCTTTAAGGTCCAATTTCAGCATGGGAAAATATTTAAAATGTTGAATCCGCTGGTTAAAAAAAAAAAAAAAAAAAAAAAAAAAGCAGTACCTAACCTCTGGCACTGTCCCTCTTAGACTCACCAATCCAGTGATGTGGCATCACTCCTCTTTTGGGTTGAATGATGCCTAGCATCATTCAACCAGTTATCTGTGAATCACAGGGGAATGCTAGAGAATGGTGCCACATCAGTCGATTATGGATTTTAGGATCCGCCCACTGTTGAAGAAAGAAAAGGGCAAAGAGGACCCATTACATAATCGCACCTGATCAAAGACACCAAGAAAGAAAAAAGTATACAATTAAAAAAATTGAAATGATTAAGACTTCATTACTGCTGTAAGGGAGAGGAAGGGAAAGGGTGATGGAGATTTCAAATCCAGAATAGAACTTTAAAGTGACAATAAACTCAGGAGTTAAAGTAGTATTCAAGGCCGGGGGAGTTTTTTTTACCTTAATTCATTCTCCCCCACTTACCTGTGAACACTGCTGTCAACGTTCCTAGGCTCCTTCTGCTGTCATTCAAAGTGTGATTGTGGTAGAGGGGGGTGTGGCCAGCCGCAAGCTGTGTGTCTATTGACGTAGACAGCTACTTGCAGGCACGGTCAGGAAGGTGCACGCATGGGAGCCTCCACAGCAGTCCGGTAGCTGATGGAGGCAACCACACAGAGGGCAGGAGGGAGCAATGCGGGGCTTAGGAAAAAAAAAAAGACGCTTTCATGAATTTAAGGTTTAACTCCTGAGTTTAGTTTAATTTTAAAGTAGAAGTGCCTCATTCCAGAATTGCATGACTTCCCTAGCATTGTAATAAAAGATATACTATTAATGAAAACAGAGAGCCATCACATGACCAAATAATGAAATTTCTGGGGAATGCTCAGATCAAAAAAAAGGAGCTCATACAGGTGCTGAATTATCTACAAGTACTTGGGGCCGTGACTAGTTGGTGAGTACCCATTCTGGTGGGAGTTTGAGGAATTTGGAGAGAGCATGGCTCGATCAAGGATAACATGACAATATAGAACCAAATAACAGACTGCAGGTAATTAGGACTTAGAAACAAGAGAAGCACATTGCTTTGTACCGAGAGATCATAATAGAAATAATGGGACTTCACAAAATAAGTTAAATCAAATTCCTGCCACTTATTAACAGGTGGCTTTGTTTTCCTGTTGTTACCAACATTGCCCTTGTATAAAAATCTGTCACTAAGAATGGGCTACTAACAGCAACTGTCCTGCAGATGAAATTGGACAATACAAGGACCTAGTCTTAGTACTGAATCAAACCTATGTTTAGCAGTAAACAAGCAAATAAAATGGAATGCATTACTACTACAAATTCAACTCTATTTGCACCTTATTAGAGAAGGGTCATCTAGTGAAACAAGTAGTATCAAGGTCTGTTAGTCCCAAATGCTAAAAAACAGCAGTAGTCTCGCCATATACTTTGAAAAAGACTCTGTACACTGAAATCATCACATTTTAACTTCAACAATACTCCAGAAGTACCAGCACAACCATGATCAGTGAAATAACTGTTGAAGTTATTTTTCCAGGGAAATGGAACTTACACTTTTAAAAGTAGGTCTGAGTACAGGATGTTCCCCAAATGTCTTCACCTCTGTTTGCTGGACTTTGGAAGCACTGCAAAAAGAAGAGAAGTCAGCTTAAAAAGGTGACTAAAAGGCAGCTTTAGAAAACAAGAACCCGATACAAATACGCATTAAAAAAATGGTTGTACATAAACAGTTCCATCATACTGCTTCTTTAAAAGCGAAAACAGAGAATCCACAACACAATATTTCAAATCCCATTCACAATCATTACAGATAAATGCAAAGCGGTGTCATGAGAATTTACAAACAGAACGCTTGTGTAATTTGGGAGGAAAGCAGCTGTGACCATTTTATTATCCCAGCATGTTGATCCTCTGAGATTATATGATCTAAAGGCAGATGTTGAATCAATGTGTGAGAAGTTGTTATGGCTCTGGCACCATAGCATGGTATCTGAATCTAGACTTAATATAATCCTAGTTCAGGAAACTTACTTTAGTTTTTATAGCAGCTAATGCATGCTAGAGTTAAATGACATTTAGTGACTAACACTAACTTAATAAGTACATTTAGTCTTGATCTAGAACACTACAGAGCAGTACAAAACTGCTACAAAAAATATTCCAACTTACTCATTTGGTTTAGCTATATCATCTTCAAAGATGCAGAAGGCAGATGGCAAAGTTGGCACAGAGTTGCGTAGTCCCAGAAGACCACCTACATCCGAATTATCTACAAAAGAAAATACATTACTCTTAAATGCGTAACTGCACCTTTGTTGTAAAAAAAAAAAAAAACTAAAAAAAAAAAAACCCAGCACAAACACAACCCACCCCCGGTCATTTACATCCACTATACAGATTTTAGCAAACTGGACTGCACAATCCTAGCATTTTAAAACAGCCCTTTAATTGTTTTTTTTTTGTTTTCTTTATTTAATCTAGGAAATAACAGAAGAACTCCAGGAATTATTTTTATTAACCCTTGTAGTCAGACTACCCCCACACTGCACAGTCCTACCTGGTGCCTTTTGTACTTTCTTGGCATTAGTCCTCTTTTGGGTCACAGGAGGACATTTACTAAAACTCTGCATGTAACAGGCTATTGCACTCTATATGCGGACAGCGCAGAGCAGCGCTGCTGCCGGGACGGATCCCGACAATATTTTCACAATCCACCCCGCTACATGACAACTGGCTCTGCCTCTCTGGAGCCACATACAGGAAAAGGGGTGGGCACAGCTGTCTGTCCCTCCAGTCAGTGCTGGAGAAACAGAGAGGGGAATCCCTGCGTGTAACGGTGAATGACAGTTCACGATCTTCTCCCTGCAGAGAGCAGTGACTAGGTAATCAGCAGTATGCAATTGCTCCGTTCTTGACCAATAGAGCTAATGTGTGACAGCTGCAGTGTCACACGCCGGCTATAACTATGGGGGATGAGTGCATTCTACTCTCCCCATAATTCTCCTTTAAACTGATACATGGATTCCTTTTACCTGCAGCCACTTTCCGAGCTGGGGGTATTCCTGCTTTAATCACATGATTAGACTTGTCCAATATTGGTCCCATATCAAGCATAAAACTGCTAGGTATAGCAGTGAGCCAATCACACAAACAGGAGATGACTTTTCTGGTGATGTTTTGTACACTAGCGGTGAACATAAACACCCCATAGAAGGAAGTCATGTTTAAAAATTTTTGTGTGAATATTTTTCAATAAAAAACACATTTCTGGAAATATTTACAGTGTTACAAAAATATAGCTGGTTGCAGTTTAAGCCAAAAGTTAATTTTTATGAACATTAATTTCTAAAAAGAGCTTACGTAGCAACTATCCTTGTTATAGATACATTTTCAGCAAAAACTTACTGTCATTTCGGCAGAGGGTCTCAATATCAGGTTTACTGGGATCTGCCATTTCAAAGAGGTTTTCGTCCTCTTCATCACCAGGTAAAGTAGATGTCTGGAAGATGTCCATTATAAAACCTGTAAGAAAAACATGGTAACATGTAATTTAGCAAATAACTTCAAGCATAAGGTACGTTGAAAACTCTTTATCGGGTGCATAAGAAATGTACTTCCATGTCTCACATCTGTACAAAGAAAGTTTTCATATGGAGAAACAAGAATGTTTGGTAAAATGGGTGGCCATTGCTTTCTGTCAAGAATCATAACAAAACAAAAAAAAGCCTCCCAGTTTTAGAATGCAACACAAAACTTTAAAGAGCTCCAGGAAATCTGAAAATTAACCCTTGCAGTGGGGCTACCCCCTCATTGTTCATTTTAGTCTAGGGGCTATAATAAAGAAGATATACTCACCTGATCCTCAGTCCGGCAGCGTGGGATGTCTCGGTGTCCTTACGGCTAATGCAAGTCAATAGACCTGCATTAGGCATGATGATATCATAGGTCCTTAGGAAGCCAGAGCCCGGAGAAGGCTAGGGGGACCGGTCTTGCAGCCAAGTGGAAATGAGGGACAAGTGGAGTATATTTTCTTTATTTTAGCCCTATACCAAAAAGGGCACACAACCGTTGCAGTATTTTTTTACATATCCTGGAGTTTTTCCTTTAATGAACTACTCTATGCAATAGTGATGTCAAACATTGCATTTTAGAGTGGTTCATGACAAGTGTAAAAGTCTGCACTACTAACCCAATGCAAGCCAATTAAGTATGTATTCATTGGTTAGACCCATCAACCCTTGTAGTGGAGCTACTCCAGCACAGCAAGGGTTAAGTGCTCGTTTGTGTCCAGGTGTTAAAATAACAAAGATCTACTCATCAAAAACTCTGAGTGAGCCAGCTGTCAGAGCTTCCAGCCTCTCTGCCCCTCCCCTGCAGGACTGTAATCTTCCTTAGCGTCTTTACCACTATACACAGTGAATAGACATTGATGATTTACTGGCTGCAGAGAAGCAGGAAAATGTTGGAAGGACCAGTCTAAGAAGCTGGCTTGGAGCTTTGGGTGAGTATATCCTTGTTTTTTTTAACCTGGACACAACCAAGCAGTTAACCCTCGTAGTGTGGGGGTAGCCCAGCTGCAAGGGTTAATAAAAAAAAATCCTTCAGTTCTTATTAAATGGACAGTGATAGGAAAAATAGGATTTTTGTACTCACCGCAAAATCCTTTTCTCTCCGTTCATTGCAGGACACAGGGCAACAGATCGTAGATCCTTTACTGTAGGTATATCGCCACCTGCAGGAGAAGGACGCTAGGCACACAAGACAAAGACAGCCTAGGGGCGGCCCCTGCTGGTGGTCCAACCCCCCACCTGCCGACAAGTGTCAAGTAACAAGCAGTTAGGAGTACACACCCAATATAGAGGGCGGGACCTGTGTCCTTCAATGTACGGAGAGAAAAAGGATTTCACGGTGAGTACAAAAATCCTATTTTCTCTCCCATTCATTGAAGGACACAGGGCAACAGATCGTAGATCCTGTACTGTAAGGACGTCACCAAGCAGTAACACACGGAGGGATGTGCAAAAGAACCAAAATACCCCTCAAAGAGCAGCCTGCAACACTTTGCGCCCCAACCCAGCATCCGCCGATGCCGAAACATCCACCTTATAGAACTTGACAAAAGGTGTGAATGGAAGACCAAGTAGCGGCCTTACAAACCTGAGAAACCGAGGCACCATGGAGGAAGGCCCTAGATGCCCCACCAGCCCTAGTCGAATGGGCAGTGACAGGAGAGGGAGACTCGTGCCACTTAACGGTGCACGCCTAAACATGACAAATCCACCGAGAAATGGTAGCCGCCAACACGGCCAGGCCCATACGGGGTCCCTCTGTGAGCATGAACAATGAATCTGACTCACGGAAAGAAGCAGTAGCTACCAGATAAACAAAGAGCACGCACCACATCAAAACAGAGCAGCGCTCTTTCCTTCCTATGAACCGTTTCGGGCACAGAGAAGGCAAGACAATGTCCTCATTCAGATGGAACGCCGACACAACCTTAGGCAGGAAAGCCGGTTGAGGACGTAGAACAGCCTTGTCCCTATGAAGAACAAGCATCGGTGACTTGCAGTACAAGGCAGCCAACTCAGACACCCGTCGAACTGAAGTGATTGCAACCAAAAAGACCAGAAGCGAAATTGCCCGCAGAGGCTCAAAGGGAGATTCCTGCAACACCAAATTCAGATCCCACGGCACCCAAGGCGAGCGAACAGCAGGAGCTGGAGACTTGTCAGCAGGTGGGGGGGTTGGGCCACCAGCAGGGGCCACCCCTAGGCTGTCTTTGTCTTTTGTGGTGTGCCTAGCGTCCTTCTCCTGCAGGTGGCGATATACCTACAGCAAAGGATCTACGATCTGTTGACCTGTGTCCTTCAATGAACGGGAGAGAAAAATACATGTTAAAAGGAGAACTATGAGGCGAGTGCTTTCCACTCACCTCATAGTTCTAGCCGACCTGTGACAATGAGACTGTCACAGGTCAGCTCAGTAGATCGGGAGGTGAGCGAACATATAACGGTGTTCGCTCACCTCTCGATCCTGTCACAGCTCTATGCCGTGACAGGGAAGGGGCTGGATTCCCCCCTCCCCGATCCGCCAGCGCTGACTGGCAGAACGGACGGGGGAGGGGGCGGGTACAGCTGGCTCTGCCTCTAGATAGGCAGAGCCAGCTGTCACTCACGCAGCTGGACGGATCTCGACATCAATGTCGGGATCCGCTCCGGCGTCTCACTATACCGCGAGCTGTAGCTCGCAGTATACTGAGCTTAGGGTAACGGGAGGACGCTAGTTTGTGTCCTCCGGTTACCCTAAGGAGAACTATGGGGAAAAGCCCTGACCCCATAGTTCTCCTTTAAATATAAGAAAAATGAAGAGGGAAGTGTAAAAAAACAGGATGTGCTTGGCCAACCCGCTGCTTTGAATCCGGCCTGGGGTGGATTTAGAGACATCAATCCAACAAAACCAGATTATATGATTAACTGCTTTTGTTTATCAAGAAGTGGTTATTTTCTCATAACCCATGTGGGGTAAAAATGTGCCAAGTACTATCTCGGAAGCTTAAAAGGAGAACTATGGAATCAGTGTTTTTCCCCATAGTTCTCCTTAGGGTAACGGGAGGACAAAAACTAGCGTCCTGCCGTTACCCTAAGCTCAGTATACCGCGAGCTACAGCTCGCGGTATACTGAGACGCCGCGGCGGATCCCGGCGTAGATGACGGGATCCGCCCAGCTGCGTGAGTGACAGCTGGCTCAGCCTATCTAGAGGCAGAGCCAGCTGTACCTATCCCCTCCCCCGTCCGTTCCGCCAGTCAGCGCTGGCAGATCGGAGCGGGGATAGGGGAATCCAGCCCCTCCCCGTCACGGCAGAGAGCCGTGACAGGATCGAGAGGTGAGCAAACCTGGTATGTGTTCGCTCACCTCCCGATCTACTGAGCCGACCTGTGACAGTCTCATTGTCACAGGTTGGCTAGAACTATGAGGTGAGTGGAAAGCACTCGCCTCATAGTTCTCCTTTAAGAAGAAGAAAAAAAAAAAAAAAAAAGCTTTTGTATTTATTTTTTCTCATTTTGTGTTGGGGAGCTTAGCCATCCCATCATTCTGTCCCAGAAACATGACAGGAAGTGAGTGGAAATCTCTCTAAAATAAGCAAAATGCCCCCAATATTACCTGACAAAAAGTGATAACAAGACTAAGAGGTCCAAATGTTTTTATTAACATTATTTCGTCTGAGAATAGACCTATGTTTAAATAAACTTACTGTTGATTGACACTTCTGTTGGAGGTCTGTTCAAAGCATAAACTACTCTTTAGCTAAAATAATAATACTTTTTAACATAACCTTCCCTTCAGCTAGTTTGATGTCATGTCCCAGTGTTCTTGAGGTCAGCTTTGTAATGAAAATACTGCCGTCCTCAACCTTATTCACACCTAAAAGTCACAGTAAAGCCCCCCCCCATATGCTGCTGTAAGTAGTTATCTTATGTGTTGCCTCTTGAGTTGAACATCTTCTCCTTTCCAGTGGTTTTCATCAGTCCCCTCAGCGCTGGTGCCGGTCTCAAATCCAGCGCCCACTCTTTTTCAGTACTCCACGGAGCCTGTCCAGGGTGCATGCTCCTGCACGCATACATTAACTGCCATTGAGTCACTCCTCCCCTTTGGTAAAATAAAGTGCACATGTCCCCACATACAAAGCCTCCTGCACGGCCATTCTGCAGCCGGGAGCAAGCAGCGCAGACACAGCACTTTGAACATATTTTAGATGTTGGGGCATGCTATACTGCTTGCTAGCAGTAGATATATTTTTTTTAAAACAGGAGCCTTTGATACCACTTTAAAGGTATTACAGGCTTTCAAAAATGTCCTCACTTTTTCCTTCTTTTCACAAGGTAGTACATATTGAGTTGTCCCATTGTGAACTGGTGTTCCCACTGAAAAATGTCCCTTTACCTCATATTCCCATAACACCCTAAAATTTTCGATTTCCCATCACTTTCTCTCCCAGTGACCAAAGTCACCATTACAAAAACATGAGGTTGAATCTCCCAAGAAGGCATACAAAACAATAAAAAACCCCTGGCAGAGGTTCTAACCATTTTCTACCCTAAGAAAGCTTGGGCTGTAGACACATTATAAATTTAGGATGTACATCCTGGCATTCTCTGAGGCGGGCATCATTAAGCACATCTTACCCAGTGCTTCCTTGGTGTTCACTGTAGGCGAGGGAAGGACTTTAGATGGCGTAGCTTGCACATATCCTAGTGACGTGTTGGGCGTAACATGTGAGGTATTTGCTATATAACCCGATGAGTTGGCTACTGTGTGAAGTATAGAGAGAACAAGAACACAATGAATAAACCACAAGCATACCTGTACTATTAGGAATATACAAACAAGATCCACCATTTTACCTTCCCTCGTTGCAGGTTGTAACTTCACCATACTGGCACTAATGTTTTGAATCCTAAGACAGAACACACATTGAATGAGTTTGCAAGGCAGTGGTCCGAAAAAAACAAAAACAAAAACAACCCATCACTTCAAACCAAAGTCATTATTACACTTACATTGTTCTTTGAGTGTCAGAATGTGACGTTGCTGATCGTTCCAGAAAAGAGCATGGTTTAGTAGACATGCTGCCATCAGATGTCAATGGGGCAGGGTGCTGAGAATGATGCACTTCTTGCTCAGCTCTACTGCAAGTTTGGGCATCCAGTAGGGAGAGAGAGGACAGTTGCCCAGATGGAGAGGGGTTGTATTGGGATGTAGAAATTCCTGGGGAAACCGATGGTTGTGCCGCGGGAGCCAGCTCGAAGGGAGAGCGAGGAACTGATACTGTCATGTGTGGTTGATTTTCATTCTGGACTGTTGAGGTCAACATGCTGAAGTTTGAAGGCATCTGTTGAATTTTCAATAAAAACAAACATACATAAAAAATTTGATATGGATGCGCTATGAGGCCAAAATGGAACAATTTTCTTTAAATTCTAGGTCAAGACAAAAAAAAAAAGATGCTTTTTTTGTCGCATAGCGGAACGATAAAGCCCTTGCCTTATGTCTGTCTGTGCCCCTGCTGCAAATTTCCTCCCACTGCCTGCAAAAAACATTTTTCAGCAGGACAGGCAGTGAGGGGAAAACGTTCGAACGGAGCACTGGATAGCAGTAAAAACCTGACAGGAGTTCCAATTCTTGCAAGCTCTATCCTAAACTGTAATAAAGACTTTTGGCTTGACATACCATTTTAAGTTTACCAAAAGCCTTATGATGCTATTCATTACTAGTTTGGTCAGCCTGTAAATACACCGGATTTTGCTATCAATTCTGGAGCTAAAGAAACTACATGTGATAGAATATGTGATCTACAGATATGTCGCTTAACCTTCATGCATAAGAGTCAAAAGCTAGTTAAATCCGATAGCAAAGTATAAAATGTACAGGAAAAACTAAGAGCCATTTGGAAAAAAGCTATAACCAAAGCGATACTCATTTCTTTTGTGTACAACTACTGAAAATTTTATATAGCAACTATTCAGTCTACTACAAAAGATGTTAAAAAAAAAAGCATTGCCCACCCACACAATATCTGAAAAGATTCACTTACTGCAAAAATGAGGGCAGACGTCCCTGAAAAAAAAAAAGTTTCAAATCTTTTTAACCCCCTTCCTCTCGTTTATGATCCATTCTATTTTTGTGCTGAACTGTACAGTAAACCTTTCACCTCCTTTATCCTGCACATCTGTATATTAAGAGAACTATGAGGTGAGTGCTTTTCACTCACCTCATAGTTCTAGCCGACCTGTGACAATGAGACTGTCACAGGTCGGCTCAGTAGATCGGGAGGTGAGCGAACATATACCGGGTTCGCTCGCCTCTCGATCCTGTCACGGCTCTCTGCCGTGACAGGGGAGGGGCTGGATACCCCTCTACGATCTGCCAGCGCTGACTGGCGGAAGGGACGGGGGAGAGGGCGGGTACAGCTGGCTCTGCCTCTAGATAGGTAGAGCCAGCTGTCACTCACGCAGCTGGGCGGATCCCGTCATCTAAGTCGGGATCCGCTCCGGCGTCTCAGTATACCGCGAGCTGTAGCTCACAGTATACTGAGCTTAGGGTAACGGGAGGACGCTAGTTTGTGTCCTCCCGTTACCCTAAGGAGAACTATGGGGAAAAACACTGACCCCATAGTTCTCCTTTAACTGCTTCATCTCCATCCTTGTATGTGATGGCCTGTCTACGGCCTGTACATTTAGGCCCCGTTCCCACTGCGCGATATGCAAATCGCGCGTTTGTCGCGCGATTTGCATATTGCGCGCGATGTCGCGTTCAATCTTGCATTGAGCAAGCTTGAATCGTGGCTAAATCCGCTCCAAAAAGGGTCCTGCTGTAGCGACACACGACCCGCGACAGCAGGACCCTTTGCCCCATTGAAATGCATTGGAGCGCGATATCGCACGGTAATTTGCCGCGATATCGTGGGAATTACCGCGCGATAAATCGCTCAATGTGAACGGGGCTTTATTGTATCTAGTGCACTATTACCAAGCTCCATGTTTTAACCCCCTCAATACCAGCATGTTTCTCCATTTCCAAAAAATTGCGGCCAAAAAAAAAAATCAGATCACCTTTATATTTTGGGGATTTTCATACGGTCTGACATTTTTTATTAGCTATGATTTATAAATGAAAGTATGAGAAAGGGGCTTTTTTTCTGATATATTGGTCCTTTTTTATTTACTTTAGAAGGTAAAAAAAAAGAAATGGTTATCAAATACTACTAATAGAAAGCTCTATTTGTCGCAAAAAATGATATAAAATTAATTTTGTTACAGTGTTGTGTGACGAAGGAACAGCACTAAAAACTGAAAAATGGCCTGGTAATGAATGGGGTAGAACATGCCAGTACTGAAGTGGTTAACATTAACCTCAGGGACAGCCGTTGTAAAAAAATGGCCGGCAGGTCTCTAGATCTGAGCGGGCGTCTTTACACGTCCGCCCAGCCAAGCCCACCTGCGCGCGCCGTGCGGGAAACACTGGCGATCTAAAAACAGGCACCGATGCCTGTTAACATACAAGCGATCGCTTGTATGAGCTGCCGGCCGTGTCCCCCCCCTCCCTACGCGGCCTCCTCCTCCCGTTGTCACGCCGGTCCCGGGCTCCGCTGTTCCCGGTGCGAGCCCGGGACCAGCATACGGCCTCTGTCACGGGATCAGAGGGAGCTCGGTATACGAGCTCCCTCCGGTCCCCTCTCCGCTGCCAGAATGCGGAAGTGATGTATAATACATCACTTCCGCATTCTCGTGTCACTCTCCAGCTTCAGACGCTGGAGAGAAGCTGATGAAGCAGATCCCTTCATCAGCTTCTTCAGGGGGGGTTCTAGGTGACATTAGGGGTCTTGGAGACCCCTGATGTCTCCATAAAGAGGACCTGCCACATCTTTTGCTATCACAGCAAAGGGTATCACAGGGTTTCTTAGCCCCCTATGTGATAGGAAAAAAAAATGAAAGTTTCCAAAATAAAATTAAAGTCACACATAAAAAAGAATTAAAATTTATTTTTATTTTTTTAAAGCCCCCACCCATACATACACGCATGCAAACATGCGTCAGGTGCGCATACCTGCGAAAACGATGATTGCGCCCATTACACATCGCCGCGAACATCGCAGTGAGAGCGATATTTTAGGGCCATCAATCACTGATAACACTAAACTGATGAGCGGTAAAAGCGTCACCTATGGTCAATTTTGGGTATTGTAGTTTCCTGCGATTTCGTGGGTGCGCGCAATTTTTAAGCATGGCATGTTTGGTGTCTATTTACCCGACGTGACCCCGTCTTTTATATTTTTCCAAAAAATTGGGTAATAATAATTGTTTCCTAACAATGTGAAATATAGTAAAAAATAAAACCCCCAGTGGTGATTAAATACCACCAAAAGAAAGCTCTATCTGTCCCCAAAAAAGGGTATAAAATTCATTTCAGTACAGCGTTGCATGACGGAATAAATGTCAGTCAAAGTACCGCAGCGCTGAATACTGAAAAATGGCCTGGCCAGGAAGGGGGTCTAAACACCTGGTCTTGAAGTGGTTAAATAGAACCTGTGCTTTAACCAGAGAGGTGTTGGAAGAGTGTTGTTAGTACTATGTAAGTTTCAAGTCATGATTTAAAGCTTACACATACTCTTTTGTGCAAGAACGCGCAGCTGGGGAAGGAGGACATTATATGAACTACTATATACATTACTTAATGTTGTATGGGCAAAGCACAGGCTCAATTTGAAATACAAGGGTATAAAGCATGCTGCAATACCACATTGCACCAGGAGGTGGCACTGAAGACCCCCTGGCACATTAGAACACAGAAGTTGATGTAATCTCAAGCAAAAAAGGATTTCCAGATTGAGTGGAAACTGCTTTAAAGATTATCTGAAAGTTTTAATCACCTTGTCACTAGAACTACAGTAGAAGCTGAGTTTAGAACTCCAATAACAGCTTCTACTGTAATTATGCGATTTAATGTTCTGCTTGCCTCGCATGAAGTTAAATATACTAGAAAATCACTGTAGCTGCACAACTCTAATTAAAAAAGGAGTTGCGTTAGTCTGCATAATAAGATTGAAATCGACAACTATTGCAAAGGTTATCAAGAATCATTCTTACTGCTGCACTGGGCTCAGAAGTAGGCTTGTTTGCAGCTGCCTGGCCATTTAGCAGGCTGCTCAGTTGCTCCATCTTCTGCTTCAACATATTTTCTTGGATAGCAGCCTCCTCCTTGACCTTCGTGTATTTCTTTTGTTCTTCCTCTATTAATGAATATACAAAATTGCTGAATCCAGTATTAAAAAACAATTATCTTGCCTAGCAACTTATACGGCTATGAAGGCAATCAATTAACTAGACAAAAAATATTCAGTCAATAGTGGAACCACAACTATTAAGTTTGGGGGAAGGATTAAAAGTCCCCAATGTATCACAGGTCAATAGAAACCTTCCAAGGTGGAGAGGGGATGAGGCGCTGGACAACGAACTTCCTCTAAATAGGAGCAATATTTGGGCTTGATGGCTCAGTTCCGGCAAACTCTTCACCAAAAGGGGGGGCCCTTCAGTGGGAGTGCTGTCCATATACCTTGCTGCAGTCCTGACCGGCTATGCCAAAATAAACGGGTGCTTGAAATTAACGCGGAAGGCGCCGCTTAGAATACAGATATAAAGATAGATATCGGCACAAAAATATGTCAGTGCGAATCCATTTTATTGATAAGTGTCATCACAGCAAGCGCTTTCGGGGGGCCACGTAGGGCCCACTTCATCAGGTTCAAAAATGACAACATTGACATTTCTGAACCTGACGAGGGGGCCCTACGTGGCCCTGAAAGCGCTTGTCATGATGACACTTAATAAAATGGATTCGCACGGACGTGGCATTTCTGTGATGGTGTGCTGATGACATCTATGTTTACGGCAGTGGGAGGGGACCCCAGAATGAGAAATCCATGTAAATAAAGAGTAAAAAGAACACCAAGCAGCCATCTCAAGAGTCCCAAATCGTTATTGGTTTCACAAATGACGACAATACGCACAGTCCAAGAATTTTGGGGAATCCGCCTTCATCAGGGCTACAATTAGATACATTAAATACCTAATACAAATACTATCTAAATAATGTTCAATTTTCTATATAGCATTTCTTAGATGTCTTTAGTGTATCTCTTTGTACCCCTGTTGAAGGGGGCTACCTGACCCCCAAAACACATTGGTTGCTCTGATCTTGTTGTCATTATCGAAGCCAATAAAGGTTCTTGAAATGATTGCCTGGTGCTCTTTTTAGTCTTCATTCAATATAAAGACTTGATTGAGGTGTTAGCCCCCTCTATCCAAAAGTGTAGATTGAATTTTTGAGTCAAACATTAGATTTAAATAACCACACTCATTTCAGTTGCAAAGGGTAAGGAAGGTCTGATGGACTTCTCTGTGCTGCAAATGCAATGCATCACTCTAAAAGCCTTACACTAAACATTCCAAATTGGGAGCACATCTTCCTTTTTTTCTAGATCAGGCAGAATAAATTTCCCCAAAAAGCCTGTGAATGCAGACGACCAGGTTGATCAATAACTTTGGACCCCAGAAAGGACCTGTGCAGTGTTTCAGCAAGATTCAGCTGTCAAGGGCTAGGGAGAGTTGCATCTTTGTACCTCTGCCTTCCCTCAACCATTCTGCCCAAGATGCAACATAGAGATCTGAAACAAACAAGAGTTAAAAAGAACGATGGGGTAAGTGTTTTTCCCCATAGTTCTCTTAAGGGTCAGGGGCGGACATATACTAGCATCCTTCCGTGACCCAAAGCTCAGTTATTGTGAGCTACAGCTCGCGGTGCACTGAGACAGCCGCAGCCAGGACGGATCCCGACAATGCTGTTGAGATCCACCCAGCTGCGTAAGTGACAGCTGGCTCTGCCTATCTAGAGGCAAAGCCAGCTGTGCCCACCCCCTCCCCATCCGTTCCTCCAGTCAGCGCTGGAGGATCGGAGCAGGGAGGGGGGAAATCCCTGCGGGAAGCCGTGACTGACCGTCACTGCTCTCTGCAGGGACATTATCGAGAAGTGAGCGAGCGACGGTATGTGTTCGCTCACTTCCCGATCTATTGCAACAGTTTGTCACAGGTCGGCTCGAACTATGAGGGTGAGCGATTTTCACTCACATCATAGTTCTTCTTTAACTTGGAATGGAATGCCGACAGGAGGACTTGGAAGCATTGGAAGTGAAAAAAAATGAAACTGCAGTAAAGATTACCCCACTGGTGCATCTTTTGACGCTGTTCACATTTCTTCCTGTAGATTATTGCTCTGAATTCCTCAAGGGACATCTCGGAATCTCCACAGATTAGTTTGTCCCTACAGTACATGGGAACCTGCTTGATTTCTGCAGAAGATGCAACTGGTGTAGGTACCACAGCCGACTTTGAGATCGTCACCCACTTGTTACTGAAACATACCAAAAGAAAAAAATAAAATGTTAAAATATTGATCGTTAATTGGATTTTTTCAGTGACTATGCCATGAGTGGTCCACAGTCTAGTAATCAAGTTGTAAAAACCATCAGAAAGGCTTGCTTGTGGCTCACGGGCTGCACAGGTGTATTCTCAAATACATAGATACAGTTTTGACAAGTTTGAGAACCTGTCAGCTAATGCTTTAAAGTATTTCCTCAGAGCAGACACTATAGGATGTTTGCTTGTTACCTGTTCGCCAGAAAACCCTCCTTTGTGTGCACCTCTAAAATTAGTCCCATTTGGTTACCAACTTCACCAACATCAGGACTAATGGTGGTCTCACACCTAATTAGATTCCCAATAAATCAGATCCCTAAGATCGGTAAACTTGGAAATTAAGTTATTGGTAAATTCACGGGATTCAACATATGCAGTGCGTCTTAAAGAGACTGTCATGGGTGGGAAGGGGAAGACACGACTGTTGCAGGTATGAAGTATAGGCACCTAGAAGAACATGCACATACCTGCCAGAGCCTTCCAATGTTCCAGCCACATTGTAAGTTCAGGCCATTCTGACAAGCAAAGCTTCAGTACTTCCTTATCGTGTCAAAGCTTGCCCATCCCTTCCTACCTCCTGCATAATACTATTGGTTAATTAGACTGTCCATTATAGTGATAGGCCAATAGGAATGCCCAAGTGAGGGCCTTAGCGGACCACTCCAGCACTACCTCCAGAAAGTACAGGTGCTTTCCCTGGCATTTGGTCATGACAGGAAGGTTTAAGAGGCTGCAGTAGGTGGTGCCTGGATCTTCATACCTGCAGTAGTTTGTTGCTCTTACAGAGTCTCTCTAAGCCTCACCCACTGTAATTTCCCTTTCCACTAAGCATACCCTTCTTTGGTCACTGAAAGCTCATTTGACAGAGGTTGCATTTCATCTCTTGTTTAGATAGGAACTTAGGCCCCTGGTTACAAAGACTAGGTGTCCTGTATCTTCTCCTAGGCAGGACTTTAACAGGTTCTTGTGCGGTTAACGTGAACTCTGGCCAAGGAGAAATTCTCCCCCAGAAAGATGTTTGTCTAGGGATGATCTAAAACATAGGAGCCAGCAGTCCTTTCTGCCCCTCTCTAAGGCTGGAATGTGGGTGGGCACTCCGACATCATCATGTACAATGAAGGACCAGTGGCATCTGTTGGTTCTGCATTGTAGGTGATTACCTGGCTAAACACTGATTAGATACCGGCAAGAAAGAAAGTGACTTTGAGGGGGTCAGTGGTCACAACCGGAACCAGTGGGGAGGAAAACTGCAGGACCATGGAGTAAGGCAAGAAATCCTTGGTAATAGCTCATCTCATATACTCTATCAGCCGGGGGGAGGTCTCAATTTTAATTATTTGATGCTAGCCTGGTTTAAAGCGATTGTTGCCTTTTGCACATGAGAACATCCTGGTTTTCTAGGGTTCCCATGGCTCTGTAACATATAAGCAACCACCTGGAGATGCCAAGTACACTATATAAATATCAGTTTTATCTGTTTTGGGTTTTTTTCACCACAGTCAAAGTGTAAAATGAAAAGGAATCTACAGAATATGCTCTCAAAAAGAGAAGGGTCTTTAAAAAAGGTAAGATTAAGATCTCCTTGTACAATACAGCTATTCGAGTGTTATTCAAGAAGAGATTTCAACATCAGAGAGAAGAAATGAGGACAGCATACTTACACGTTGGATTCATCCCTATTCTGAGGCACTTCAGAAGGTTTCACAATTGGATTCTGAATTCCTGCAGAGTTCTAAAGCATTGGGAAAAAAAGAAAAAAAAAACAGAATCACTCAGTAATGGTGAGCAAATTCACTTTAGTTTAAAATGCAGCTTATCTTTTACATTTCATATCGGAACATTTAGAAACATGATTAAATACACAAACAGCAATAAAGAAGGAGCAAGCTGCTACTCAACCAGTTAGGTACTGAAACGATTTTTAGATTTCAGCAATAACCGTACGATACCAAGGATTTTTTTCTGGTATCTTAAATTTTTGGAGAATGGATGGAGAATCGCAAAAAAAGTTTAAAAAAAAAAGTTTAAAAAAAAAAAAAAAAAATCACACGCACACCAAGTTTGATCAGTGATAAAGTGATAATACAGCTTCATGCTTTTTTTTTATAGATATGAGGCGCATACAAGGAATCATTGTTGTTTTTTCATTAAAAAAAATTTAATTCCTCGTTTTCTAGTGGCTCCCCGCAGCATACTCTCCCCCTGTCCCCATCAGCTAAGCGGAGCTATAAAGGAACCCGTGCATGCTCGTGCCCAGTCGTGCCTGTGTGTGGCCCCTAGACACACGCAGTACTGTGGCAGGCCACGCCCCCTTCGCCCAACAAGTTGATTGGCGGCAGAAGGAGCCTATGGCTCACCTGTCCTCAATCTCCTCCCCCGCAACCAGGAAGTTCGGATGGAGAATCGCTTCGGGGACCTGCGGCGGTGACAAGCAACGCCGACAGGGGACTCAAGGTACTGGCCGTTTTTTTCCTTAACCAGTTGACATCCGCGGTGTTAAACCCCCTTCCCATCCAGGCCATTTTTCAGTATTCAGCGCTGCGGTACTTTGACTGACATTTATTCCGTCATGCAGCGCTGTACTGAAATGAATTTTATACCCTTTTTTGTATAGGCGATCGGCGGGCTATGGACCCGCCGATCGCCTATATGTGAAACACCCGGTAACGGGTGTGTGCATTTAGCGGGTCTTTTCTGCCCGTGCAGTGCCGTCCGTCCGTTTTTTTACTACGGGCGGACGGCAAGAGGTTAATACAGAGAATGTATTAAAGTTAAAAAAAAACCCGCCATATTTTTAGTAATCCTTTAAGGTAAGTGTTAATGAAAAAATTCTGTGCTACTCTTGTTCTGCAATGTGTTGGACTTGTCAGGACACAAATTATATTTTTGGTTTAAAGACTGAAAGTTTTTTTTAATTCTAATGATTTTGAAACTAAACAAAAAAAAAGGGACACAGGAGTTCATAGGCTATTTGCTACACTGCTGCCGACAGGAGGACTTGGACACCAGCAAACAAAAGAACAGTTCCAGCCTGGAATAACCCCTCCTTCAATGAGCTACAAGAAACAGATTTTAAAGTAAATACAAAAATAAAACTTTTCTTTATCGTTAATTGAGGAATATAGGAATTCACAGACTGTTGGGACACCCAAAAGCAGTCCAACCGAGGGGTGAGCAACAACAAAATAAAAGAAAAAAACAAAAACACGAACATGCCCAGAAAACCAACATAACCAGGGACTGCCTGCAGCTCAAAAGAGCCACCTAAAAGGACCTTACACATAAAACTGGCATCGGAAAAGGCCAGAACGATGTTAGATTTTGTAAGAAGTAGACTTCCTAGCTTTTAGCATTGTGTGCAATCACAAACTCAGAGATGTTCCCGTCCCTCAGGACCTGGGATTCAAAATCCATGCTGTTAAATCCAACAACCAGGATGAAAAACAGGTCCCTTGGACAGACTAAGATAATCTTAAAGTGCCCACAGAGCATCTGCCAAAAGTCTGATCAAGTTGGCGTACCATATAAGCACGAGTCAGTCCTCACTGGAATGCCCTCCATCTTGACCTTGCGAAGGAGACAAGGAAGGAGAATCAGGGGAGGAAAGGATTAAAGCCCTCCTCAAAAGAGAACAGGGCTACCAGCCATTTGGGAGGAGCGAACAACCTGTCAGGGTTCTTACAGGCTCCATAAATGATGACTGAAAACAGCGTGTGCAGTGGAAAGGTCTTGATAGCCCTAGGCATGCTAAAAGAGCCTAGAGACTGGCAGCTGAAAAGCCACTATTGCTGCAGGCAGATCCGATAAAGATTGGTAGGAGGAAAGTGTGGAAGGATCCTTATGACCGCTGCAGTCAGTCATCAAGGTTGCCTTCTCCTGCTTTAGGATATGCTTCTGCAAAGCATGTGCTTTCTGTTGATCAGCGTTGAGAAAACACTGCTAATAACAAGCAGCTCTGCTGCACAGATCATGGCTTCAGATGTCAAACTAATAGAAGATACATGCTGTGGCATGAGCGAAGCAGCCCTCCTGCATTAAAGTAACATGGCGCTGGTGTGGATATTTGTCCCAGGTGTAGTTGATGGAACGAAAACTACAGATTCAACTGTTTCTGAATAGAAAGCTCAAATTAGAAATGTTCACAATACGTTATCAAATCCTTAAACAAATATACCAATGACGTTTTCTGCAATTTAGCGCATGTAGCTTATGCTACATTCAAGGCATGCCTCTGGCTATAACCATCACATTTACCATAACAGCAAGTCCTCAAATGACTGATGTCATAGCTGATCACATGCACCATGGCAATTGCAGACCTAAATAGAGGCTAGGATGGCACTGTCCTTGGTGCACAGGCAAGTTAAGTGCCCATTTAAAGCAGACACACACAGTAACAACAAACATTATGAGCAGCACACAAGCAGACCAGTACCTGACATTTAGCTAGTGAAGAAGGATCAGTGTCTGATGTAGGTGTGATCCGATTCAAAATTTGAGACTCTCTCAAAGGCTGCACAGGGTGTTCTATGGAGGAGAAAGAAAGGTAAATTGGTCAGAACATGTCAGGCAACCAACATTGATGGTCTTATGTCACATAGCATGCTCCGATTTAGAGATACATATTAAATAGGGAAATACAGGTACCCAAAAGCCTGACGTAGACAAAGCCAAGAAATACAGGATGTGGTTAGTCCAACACTAGTAATGTGATGGAGAAAGTTATTACTAAAGTTTGTTACAAAGACAACAAGCTTCAGGACTACTTAGTTGTACCTCGATCAGTTGACGTCTTCTCAGAAATTCTTGTTTGGAATGCCCTGTGCAGAAAACAAAAAAAACATAAAAAAAGGTAACCAATTGTGCAGGTACGGTAAAACAAAAATTACATTTTTTAATTACATTTATATATATATATCTTTTTTTATTATTTACAGGAACATCTGCAACAACATAATTGGTTTTAATACATCTAAGAGGTTTTGAAAGATCGTGGCTACACAAGATGAGCTTTTAATCAAACAGCAACAAGATCCGACAGGGCACCAGACCAAAAGGCAGAAAGGGGGCGAAGACAAGGACCAAGAACAATATGTTATTAACATGAGATTATAAGGATTTTCAGCAGACAAACATAGCAATCCACACAGATCAGAGGCTGTACACCCAAATGATCTATCATCCCCGAAAAAACAATGAAATTTATTATATGCAGTGCAAAAGCTACATATTGGGGACCTAAGACAACCAATCAACAAAATGCATTGCTAATTTAGGAAGGTTGTCTCTTCAAGTCAAAATGTAGCAGTCCACCAACACCTAAAGAAAAAGAGGACCCTCTTCAAGACAGCAAGGTGCACATTTAAACAGATTTGACATGACAAATGGAAATAAAGGTCACTGGTTGTCATACTGATACATTGACTTAAAACACTTAAGGGCTCAGTCTAGCTTTTCCATAAAAGTAGTATATGCAGCAACATGGGTCTTTTGGTCAATACGCATTTACTACATTTTTGCACTGAAGTCTGCAGCGCATTGCACCCACAACTGGGCGTTTACAGCCAGCCTCCAGGTTTGTATGGAGAAAGTGCAGCTGGACTACAATTGCACTGATGTCACTTCCTTGCTGCTGGTGCATTCTGCGGAGTTCCTCTGCCTCTGTGGCAGATGGGACTTGTATTAACATCTAGTCATCATTCCTGCATTTTGATGAAGCAGTTGTGCACAGTTGCACTAAATTAAACAAAAAATAAATACATTCCCTAAGATGATGCACCCCATGATTCAGGTAAGGGGGAGGAGCAGGTTTTACTAATGGGGTTTGACCAGGTTACACTCTAAATATGGGTATAACATAAAACATGGTCAAAAGGGTGGACTTAGCCTTTAAGAGTTACTGGCTCAGAACAAGAGCAGAATACAGATATGTCATATCAATTGCATGCTTTTCCTTGGTCTGTGTCTCTACAGTAGGGCTGCAACAACTAATCGACATAATCGATTATAATCGATTATTGAAAAAGTTGTCAACTTTTTCAATAATCGATTAATCGGCTTCTGATCAGTTGGCACTGTTCACGGCTCCACACACGCTTCGCGCCGCACCTCCTCCCCGCCTCACACTCACCGCCCGCATCCACGATCGGCACAGGGACGCGGGGAGATGTAGTAAGGAGGAGCAGGTGTGGGCGGATGACAGCCGCCGATAGGTCCGATCTCAGAAGCAAGTTGCTGGAAGACTGCTCAGGTAAGCCTGCACTTTCCCACACATGATGCTCTATAATGTATTGCTGGGATTTGTATTCCTCTATAGCTGAATATACATTGTGCTGTATATTATACAGAGCAATGTACCATCAGCTATAGAGGAATACATTATACACTGCTGGGTGCTCCTAATATAGCTGGTGATATTCTGCACTGAGCTGTATAGAGGACTACAAATCCCAGCAATAATACATTATACAGCGCAATGCGGAATACCACCAGCTATAGAGGACTACAAATCCCAGCAATAATACATTATACAGCGCAATGCGGAATACCACCAGCTATAGAGGACTACAAAACACAGCAATAGTACATTATACAGTGCAATGCAGAATATCGCCAGCTATAATGTACTATTGCTGGGATTTGTAGTCCTCTATAGTCGGTGCCATTCTGCATTCATTGCTGTATAATTTTACACTTTCCTTTTCACTATATTGCACACCACTATTTTTTTTTCTTTTCTTTTTTTACTTCTACCGCTCCAAGCTTGCTCCTGTGATGGAGTGCAATCTCAATACAAACTAGTCCATCACTGGAGCCATTTTTTAAGATGTATTTTATTGTTTATCCGATTAACCGATTAATCGAACTTAATAATCGGCTAACTAATCGATTTTGAAAATAATCGTTAGCTGCAGCTCTACTCTTAAGTAATGAAGCGTCAATGAAGAGTGAAACCACCTCGCTGTCTTGATAAGAATACTAGAAAGAGGTGTTTCAGGAACAACCCTCCCAACAGAGTTGGGGACTTATAACAACCTATCAGCAATTTACAACGCTACCCTAACAACATTACTCTGGCAGTCTCACACCTAAAGTTATGTACTCTTACACCTGCCTCATGTAGATGATATTATGTTCATCGGATGGCCCATAAGGGCTTGGGTGCCAATAAAGGCAGCTAATGCATACATTCATGTGATGCATCTGCATAGTATCAAAGCTGTTAAATTCCAACCCCGCACATTTCTATTGCCACATTACTATGAATGGTAGCCTCAGTGGCCAATAGTAACATGCATAAGGTAGGATGTGCCGCAGCTTTGCATGTCAGAATGGCCTGAGATTTGGCAGTGACGGAAAGGCTTGAGAGGCTACTGGGAGGTTTGTGCAAGGATTTCTAAGTGCCTGAACGTTATACCTGGTGCAGTTACCACCCGAACCCAGTGACAAAGATTCTTTAAGTGGCAATACAAGGTAGATCCTTCACTAAATACAATCATCAATGTTACATTTGGCCATTCTTAGGACTGTCAAGTCCCACTTTAGCTAATTCCCATAAGCAAAGATCTAATATGCATAATTGGGACCAGAGAAGACTTCAGTATTTAACTAAGTTGTCCAGACAGATCTAAGCTCTGACCTGTAGTGATGATCCAGAAAGTCCTTTGGCTGTGCATGGTTCTGAACGGCTTTCTGAAACATGGCACTTGCATTGTGCAGGTCCCCCTTTGCTTCCAGCTGCTGGGCCCAGATTACAAGCAGGGCAGCAGAACATGTACCTATACCTCGGCTGTAAAGATACTCAAAGAACTGCGTAGGTTCATCAATAGTTTCAGCCTGGAAAAGAGTAAAAACCAGAGGCGTGCAATGAGCGAGAGTAATAACTTCACATGCAGCTACTCATTCATTTCATTGTTTAGTCCAATTACAACTACAGAGATAAGACTTACAAATCGGATGCAGTATTTCAGGTATCTTTCATCATTGCAGTATCTTTTGTCCCCTACAAAGTTCTGAACTAAACGTTGCAACAAACAGAGAATGTTACGTTTTTCTGGCGGCGGTAGAGTTTCTTCAGCCCAAAGAACATACCTTGAGAGAGGCAAAAGACACAAAGGTGGCATTTAGAGTCTTCATCAAAGTCTAGAACTTTTCTTCACTAATTCTAAAAAATAGAGGCTTGTAGCTTACCTGTCCCACAGATCCAAAGGGTCATCACCAGTGTATCCCTGTATGTGGGTTTCAAACATTCTGCAGAGACAAAACCATATATAGTAACTGATATAGACATTTGTATTTGTTTATAGACTTAAAAGGAGAACTATAAGGTGAGTGCTTCTCACTCACCTCATAGTTCTAGCCGACCTGTGACAATGAGACTGTTACAGGTCGGCTCAGTAGATCGGGAGGTGAGCGAACATATACCGGCGTTCGCTCACCTCTCGATCCTGTCACGGCTCTCTGCCGTGACAGGGGAGGGGCTGGATTCCCCCTCCCTGCTCCGATCCGCCAGCGCTGACTGGCGGAACGGACGGGGGAGGGGGGCAGGTACAGCTGGCTCTGCCTCTACATAGGCAGAGCCAGCTGTCACTCACGCAGCTGGGCGGATCTCGACATAGATGTCGGGATCCGCTCCAGCGTCTCAGTATACCGCGAGCTGTAGCTCGCGGTATACTAAGGTTAGGGTAACGGGAGGACGCTAGTTTGTGTCCTCCCGTTACCCTAAGGAGAACTATGGGGAAAAGCCCTGACCCCATAGTTCCCCTTTAAAGTGTCATACCATGCTGCATGCAGTTGTAAGAAAGGTTTGTGAAACCTTTGCTGCATTCTAAATTGACTTGCCCAAATAAATGTATTCATTGCCTGAACAGGGCAAAGCAATGGGTTCACCTAAATGATGCCATTCTCAGATACTAAACTGTCCTTCACCTCCCAGATACTGGGAACAAAATGAAGTCTACCCCCTCTGTAAGGTCTCAGTCACTTCAGTCAGAGCTTGCACAACACAGGACTGAGGACTGACTCTTTTTCTTTGGTTCTTGGAAATCCTGGGTGAGATTGGGGACTGTCTGTCCCTAATCTGCTTGGGCAGAGGAGCTATTAGGGTATCATGGCACCCTTTAAAAGAATGCAAAATTTGAGGCACCACAGAAATGCATTGTAAGAAACAAAATCCATACCAGAGCCCTATTAAAGATAGGGCTCTGGTATGGATTTTGAGGGACCCCACACAAAAACACATAAAAGTGGGTTTCCCCCTTCACATTAGCAGCCCCATTTTCACATCAGTCACCTCATCTTACACTAGGAGACCCCTTCACAGTCACCCCCTCTTACAGTAGGAGACCACCTTCGATATTAGAGTTCCCCCTTCACATCTAAGGCCAGAAAGGCAAGTATATAATTATTACTTTGGAAGGAGCATTTCAGTTCCTTGAGACTGAAAGCGGTACTATAAAGCAAACCCAGAATGATTGTTTGGCCCCCCTACATTTGGGATCACCCATTATTATTAGTCAGGGCCCAGTCACACTAGTGTGTTGCAGTAACGAGCAGTAAATGAATGACATGTAAATAGTACATTTTACTGCAATGGACAACAAAGCAAGTCAACGTTCCACCCAGCAGTTGCGATTTTTTCATTTGAAGTCTGTCAGTCAGGTGATGAAAGCCGGGTCACCTATGGATAGAAGTTTGTCCGCTTTGGAGGAAATTTGGCCAGTAAAAGCTCTCACCATCCCTCCAGGCGCCTGATCAGGGGAGCAGAAGGCAGGTAACTACATACTGCTGGGTAGGTCTGTATTAGCACCATTCACACTTGCAATGCATGACGTCAGGCATTGCGTTTATACACGTTTGTCACGTGTCGTACATAGGGCTGCCCATTCATTTCAATGGGCTGTCCTATGTATGGTAAAGACACTCATGCACCTTTTGGAGCTTTTTTTGTGTGTTTAATGCACATCTTGCTTGGCACATTTTGGGGTCCATTCATGAATAAAGCATGACATGCTTGCACATATTCACTCACTACACACTGAATGGGAGCTTGGAGTGAACCTGTGGCTTCGTCCTGCAACTTTAAAGGAAACCTACTATTGAGGCTGCACCATTGACCATTCCTTCTAAAAATGCTAGTTGCCTGGCTGTCATGCTGATGCCTTAGTTACAATGCTTCCCGAGTCATCAACCTGGAACAAGTACAGTAATACCTTAGTTCACAAACGCTTCTGTTTGTGAACAATTCAGTTCGCAAACCGGAAATTCTGCAAAATGTTCCTTCCGTTTGCGAACTCCACATCGAGTGACGAACACGACCGCGGCCATCTTCCCCGCTCTGACACGTGGTCGTGGCTTCCTCTAGTCGAGAACACGGTCTGACCGCAGTTTGATTCGGTTCACGACCAATTCGGTCCGCAACCAGAATCGTGGAACGAATTAAGTTCGTGAACCAAGGTACCACTGTATAGAGATTAGGAATTCTGACAATCATTTGCAGCATGCTTGGACCGAGGGTCAGCCACTCAGAAAATATTGATGGCAGACACAACAGGCATATTTTTACCAAGGGGGATAGCCAAGGCAGCTACTGTACTTCTCCCATAGAAAAGCAGCAACATCACCAGCACACCATCATAATTGTCCAAATGTGCATCTTTTTTTTTTTTTTTACTGACACATGTACAGTGCAATGCTTCATGGTCACGCAGTGTCCCCTTCATCAGGCTCAATATGAGGGACCCCAAAATGTTGCGCTGTACAATAAGCGTCAAAAAAAAGAAGAAGACGTACTTTTGGACACATTATTATGGTATGCTTTTCTATGTGATTTATGCAGCGCTATCCGCTGTCAAGGGGAGCCCGGTGAGGAGTGCATTGGGACCTGGATGTACTTCTCCCATGACACATTCACTTTAAATACCTGTGCGTTGCCTGTTCAACCCATTCTGCACAGAGAAGCAGCTCATCAGCAGTGACCTCACTATAGATTGACCCCCACTATTCCCTGCACAGTGACCCCAAAAAAGATTGACCCCCACTATTCTCTGCACAGTGACCCCAATACAGATTGACCCCCACTATTCCCGGCAGCCCATCAGTAGAGGAGTCTTCCATTTTCTTGTCTATAGTAGAAAACCGGGGCCATGTCATGGGACACATTATCATCATAGGACATATTCACCCACTACCGCAGACATTCAGTAACAATATGACATCCTTGCCCAGCACTTACTGCACACAGCTCTGGATATCCATGTTGCCCCGGCGATCCGCTCCCGATCTGACCTCCTATAAGATATCGGCCCTCACCATAACACACACACACGCCTCTGTTGTTCTCGTCTACAAATTCAAATCGTTCGCGCATTGGGAAGCGTACAACTGCCATAGGTCTAAGCGGCGGTGCTCACAGCCAATCAAATTCAAAATCCAGACAGGCGGAAGTCTCATATCGCGAGAAGTTATGTAGCAGCGCAGGGTGATATATTTCGATCACGTGATTGTACGCCCTTCTCCGCCATGTTTGATAAGGGAAGATAAGGTCTATGCAAATTCTGTTGCACAATAGGAAGGGTACCGCAGTTCATAGACCTTTCGCCCAGAAAGAAATCAAGAAGAGGAGTGTACAATGATAGTAGCCGACTCCAACATAAAATTGTTGTTTTTGTGGATGTATACGTACTGAGAAGCAACAGCAAAATAAAAGAACAATTAATGCTACAAAATACAAATAAAGAGTGCTCCTTAAATTATTCATTTAGAATGGTGTAGTTTATGTGGTGTATTTTTAAAGCTGACATTCACCAAACATTCACTGCAGATGAATTTTCAAGGTGAATGTGTTTTACATCACTATGATTTATTATTCATTAGTAAATGTTTTGGTGAAAGTCACATTCACCGCTATATAAATATGCCCCCCCATGCGTCGTTACTTTACGGCTTATGTAGGATACTTCATGTATTCATACTTCCTCTGTAGCTGGCGTTATTCTGCATTGCGCTGTATAATTTATTATTGCTTGGATTTGTAGTCCTCTATAGCTGGTGGTATTCTCCATTGCGCTGTATAATGATTATACGGCGCAATGCAGAATACCACTGACCAGTTATAGAGGAACTACAAATCCCAGCAATAATACATTATACATTGCAATGGAGAATACCACCAGTTATAGAGAAACAACAAATCTGCAAACCGGGGAGAGGAGTAACGCAAAAAGTACCAAATTATATGGATTGAGCTCCTGGGTTTCAAAATTAGTATTCGAAAAGCACAATCCCCTTAATATAGAAATCCCATTAGCGGAGCAATCCAGTGAGCAAGTAATTCAATAGTGTGTAAGACAACAAAACATATTTTATTACATCAAACAGTATAAAGATAAATCACCTCATACATGACATTTCAAATTATTTAAAAACAGAAACACAGCCTCCCTAAGATGGCCCAAATAGCAGGACAAAGCAGTCGGGGTTAATATAACAGGAAGATGGTAGGCAGTCAGTGATGTGAGCAATGCACTGTGTAGCAACAGTGGATAGTCCTTTTGGCTAAGATCAAGTGTAGTATCTGTTCTTATCAGTTCTAGAGGGGAAAGGCATGGACTGTCCTTGGGACGGACGGTTGCCTAGTACTCTCAGGAGTGAAGGTAGGTGCTTGAGGCGACTCCCTTTTAGAGGAGGGGGAGTTTCCTCGGCACTATTGCCTACTGACTAAATAAGATGCGAAGCTTGGTCGAGGCTGGAGGGTTCGGGGGCGGCAGAAGCCCGTGGTGTTGTGCCCCCTGGGGGTGGCGTCCCAGGGGTGCTCAGGAAGTCACATGGGTGTGGGAACCCACATGACTCACTGGCACTTGGTCACACACCACATTGCAATTTTCTGCACTTCGCCTCCAAGACAGGCCTTATGGCTGCCCCTCTGGGGCAATATTTTTGCACTCCGGCCCCTAAGGCCTGTCAGCGTGGTGCACTGGCACTTTAGATTTATTTATGCACTTCATGCACGTTTGGCACTTTTTTATTTTAAATTTGACCCACAGATGCGAAAGGTGCAGGTTTCTTCGGGGCCTATTCCTGACGCTGGGAGGAGATTCTGTGCCTCGAACGGGGTTCTCTGTCTCCTCCCACCCAGGAGGTGGGTTTCTCTTCGGGAGATCCCACTTGCCTAGTACTGAGGGGGACCTGTTTCGGCAGGTCCCCATAGGAAATGGTCCACGGCCCTCGGGTTGGTGGACCACCAGTCTCAACCCCTGTCAGGAGCCTTGCGCCCCGGGGGGTCGGGAAAGTAGGTCCCTTCTTGCGAAGGACCTTGCACCCTTGTGCACGTTTTTGTGTGCTGTGATTTCACGGTTCACTTTTTTTGTTCACAGGGGGAAGTTTGATGCACGTCCACGGGCTTCGATAAAAAAAAACAGTGGATACAATTGTATCGATATGTAGCAAAGTTACTCACTTATTCGTCTGTGGCCACAGAGAGAGAGAAAAAATCTATCCGTGATCCCGTGATGAATGTCAAGATAGTATCCCAGTCGGAGTTGCTATTGTAGTAAATTGTGATTCTGGTAGTTGTTTGTTGTAAATTTAAAGGTTTACACGGCTTTTCTCATGATTGATTAGGGTTGCCACCTGTCCAGGATTCACCCGGACAGTTCGGGTTTTGAATGCTGTGTCCAGGTTTCATGGCAGCAGAAACCCGGACACATGATGTCAGGCAGACAGGGGCAACCAACATTACGATAGGGGCTACTGGCCCTCCACTGAAAATAGTCTCAAAGGTGATATTTACATATGAATGGGTGGCGCTATTTACATATGAATAAGCCACAGCTCATTCTCCCACAAAAATTTCCGTGCGTCGCTAGGGTGTTCGGGTTTCGCTTGAAGAAAAGGTGGCAACCCTATGATTGATCCTGGAACATACATCGCCCGAAAGGCTGCATCTCTAGCCTCATGTGTGGGAGACAGCCCAAAGATTTCCCTTATAGGTGCGGCCGCACGTTGACACAGGGACGGATGGTACTCCAGGGGTAGTATGTCCAGAGCGGCACTCACTCGCAGGCTTCACTGCAGCCAGACAAGTAAGCATAAATTGGCTCCACTCGATCCCAAATCAAAAGCCGGTACTTTGTGCTATTGCTGAGTGTTATTGCTGTGCTGTATATGCGGACCTCGCTCACTGCGATCAAGTGTAGCAGAGGTTCCTTAGCCCGACAGACGTAACGGTAAAGCAGTGGGTCCTGGGTCATCAGGGAGACAGGTAACACGCTATCCCTGACGCGTTTCCCCCCAGCAAATGGGGCTTCCTCAGACAACAAATCCCAGCAATAGTACATTATACAGGCTGCTTAATGCATTATTGCTGGGATTTGGTGTTCCTCTATAACTGCTATTCGGGCGCCCTCGGTTGTCGGCGGGATAGCGGCGAGTGAGGGAGCTCACGGCAGCGGCGTGCGCGGCTTCAGTGTCCTGTGCGGTGGACGTGGCTTCAGCGTCCTGGGCGCGCGGGCGCAGCGTGTGACGTACGTGCGACTCAGGCCGTGTGTGGAGCCCCGAACAGGCTAATCAATCAATAGCCGACGAATCGACGATCGAAAACGTCGACAACGTTTTCGATTGTCGATTTTAATCGATTTAATCGATTAACTGTTGCAGCTCTACTTCTTTGCCCCTTTTGAACTCAGCTGCCAGATTGGAACCGACCCCGGCTTGGATCTCGACCATTCTTCTGATTAACCCTTGTGTACTTCGTTGCCAGAGTGGACTTGACCTCGGCTCGGATCTCGACCATTCTTCTGATTAACCCTTGTGTACTTTGTTGCCAGAGTGGACTTGACCTCGGCTCGGCTCGGATCTCGGACTAAGACTTGCATGGTGCTCCGCACCCCTGGCACCCGTGCCACAGTGTCCACCAAAATCTCTGTCTCCATCTCCAGAGACTTCAAGGACCCGAGGTGCAAGGGAGGCCTCCCCACTACTTCGGTCTCACCTCAGGTAGGTGACCCCCGTGACACTCGGGCATGATTTATAGACATGTGCAATTTGTTTTGTTCCGAATTGAAATTCATATGAATTCCTGTAAATTCGGACATTCGGATGCGTCTGAATTTCCGAATAACAGAAATAAGGAATCTGAAGGAATCCGAATGTTTGATAACGAAATTCGGATACATCTGAATTTTATTCGGAAACGAAACACAACAAGCGAGAGAGCGGTCATTTACCGCTCTCTGGCTTCCCTGACTTATATCTCAAATGAAAACAAAGTAACACAATATTGTTACAAAATGTAAATAATGAGAGAAGATAAGAGATCTGTGTTATTCTGTAACAGCTTCTGCTTCTTCCATCCCGAACGTAAGGGAACATTGAACATTGTCCTTACCTTTTTGACCTTTGTTGAGATGCATTCAAAAAAATAAAAAAATACATTAAAAATAAATATATGTCCTTTCATTTTTCATATTTTGGTATATTTCATTGTTTATTAAAAATGTTAGTCTAAACAGCAACTTTTTTAAAACATGCAAGAGACAGCACAGAGTTTGTTTTCCTTTTTCTATATTTGTATTGTTATATGTTAAAAACATAAAATAATAAAATACTTTAACCACTTCAGTACTGGCATGTTCCACTCCCTTCAGTACCAGGTCATTTTTCAGTTTTCAGTGCAAGTTTGGCTGAGGATTCCTCCATCACGCAACACTGTAACAAATTAGAGCTTTCTTTTCATGGTATTTAATATATTTTTTTAATTGTTTACTACATAAAGTAAAACATTTTTTTAAATCCTGTTTCTCTTACTTTCATTTATAACTCATAGCAAATAAAAATGTCAGGACAGTAAGAAAACCCCCATAATGACCCCTTTTGGCAAAATAGACACTCCCAGGGGATCTGTTTTTTTGCCACAATTTTTTGGAAATGAGGAAGCGAAGCATGCCGGTATTGAGGGAGATAAAACATGGAGCTTGGTAATAGTGCACAAGATACAATAAATGTACAGGTCATAGAGGGTGAAGGAGTTAATGTAGAAATGTGCAGGATAAGGGAGGTGAAAAGGTTAATATGCAGGTCAGAGAAGAGATAGAATGGATATAACATAAGCAGGAGAGGGGGGGGGGGGTTAAAAGGGTTTAAAAAAATTTAAACTTCATTCACTTATTTTTTTTCTGCTGCTGCAGCTTGTTTTCGCTGGGAAGTATTAAATGGATGACTCATCCATTCATTACTCCATTTACTCTCCCCTGACTCTGATTTTAAAAGGAAGGGGAGGGTTTGGCAAAGTAAGCATTGCCATGTGATCGCTGTGATAA